ACGCTCTAGAGAAAACACAAGCAAAATAAAAACATGCACAGTAATTCGAAAAACGAAATATGACGTCGACACATTTAGCGTAGAGTAGAACATAATCTCAAGGCGGAAAGTGCACACAGTAAAATGACGTCATTGATTATCGCGTAAACATTGAAAAAAAGGAAATGTTGTCTAATCTAAATGGTTTGCGTGAAGAGTTTCTTGCATACAATTCTTCGGGTAGGGGCGAAGCCCCACCCCCCGCGTAAGAACGTCTGAGCCCCCCCCCCCCTCGACAACTCAAAAGAAATTTCCTCATCGATACTCTATAATAAAATTACCGCCTAATTAATGTGTCTAATCTAAAAAGTGGTTTTCTTGCAATGGGACGGTAGACATGTTTTTTTTTTTGGGGGGGGGGGGGGGGGGGGGTGGGGTGGAGGGGGTGGGTGTGGGGGGGGGGGTGTGGGGGGGGGGGTTGGGGTGGTGTGTGGGGGTGGGGGGGGGGTGGTGTGTGGTGTGTGGGTTGGTTTCAGTGTTTCTTTCAGACTTTTTCCTCCCCGGAGAGGGGTGGGGGTACTTGAAATTTTCGGGGGCGGGGGGTAGAATTTTCTGGGAGGGGGCGGACACTGGAAAAAGTATATAATTATATTTCGTTGAATGGGACGGTAGACATGTTTTTTTTTTGGGGTGGGGGGTGGTGGAGGGGTGGGGGGGGTGGTGTGTGTGGGGGGGTGGGGGTGGGGGGTGGTGTGTGTGGGGGGGGGTGGGGGGTGGTGTGTGGGGGGGGTGGGTTGGTTTCAGTGCTTCTTTCAGACTTTTTCCTCCCCGGAGAGGGGTGGGGGGTACTTGAAATTTTCGGGGGGCGGGGGTAGAATTTTCTGGGAGGGGGCGGACACTGGAAAAAGTATATAATTATATTTCGTTGAATGGGACGGTAGACATGTTTTTTTTTGGGGGGGGGGGGGGGGGTGGGGGGTGGGGGGGGCGGTGTGTGGAGGGGGGTGGTGTGTGTGGGTGAGGGGTGGGGGGTGGTGTGTGGTGGGGGGGTGGGGGTGGTGTGTGGGGTTGAGGGGTTGGGTTGTGGGGGGGTGGGGTGGTGTGGGGGGGGTGGGGGGGGTGGGGTGGGGGGTGGTGTGTGGGGGGGTGGGTTGGTTTTAGTTTAGAGAAAAGAGACAGCACTATCAGCCTAGCGCCCGTTGTACCCTTCCTCAACGGGCCATTTTTCTCGTCTATATATATAATTATCTTCTGGGAGACGCTAGAAAACAAGCTGTAAACGCGCTCCCTACCACCCCCACCCCTACATGGTCTGGTGAGCTGTGGTTCATTCTAAATGTTTACAAACAGAGCCGGGTTTAGTGGCGACTATTAGGGGCAGATTATTTAGTTTGAAACGATTTTAAACGTAGGGGGAGGGTAACTAAGTGGAGTTTACTTTAACGGAGGGGGGGGGGGGGGGGGGGGTTATCGTCCTTAACGAGCTACTTAAAGTGTTTTAAAGAAATATTTTCAGTGGCAGCGTTGGTACTGTCGAATCCACAAATTATGAATTACTGAAAAGTAGAAAATAAAACAACTAAATAGCGGCGTATGATACGCTGCGGGTCGGCTCGTTATTTATAATCTATAAACGGAGCAGTGTGGTCAGAAGGTAGAGGTCACAACTGAAAACCCGAACGTCTCCAGCTGAACACAGGAACCAGTCTGTAGGACCTTCTTTACACTACATGCCCACAAAGCTCGTGTATATCAGTCGTTAGGTCGGCCATTTTCTATTTGGCTACTTTTTGTTATTGCTCCAGCGAAAGAGTAATTTTAAAAAGGCTATTTTTAGCGTGTATGTATGTGTGTGTAGTAGTTGGGGAGAGGGAGGTGTATGGAGTAAACTCACGACTACAACTACAGGGAGATAATCGATACACTTCAAGTGGTTAAAAGCGTTGTTTGCTCTCCCCTGTCCCACTGCTAGATAACAAAAAGGCTTTTAACAATCTCATGCGCAGTGTCGGGGTATATAACAATTTGTTGTGAAAATACATTGTAGAAACTTTACAACATTTCTCATCGATTAATCGCTGCAGCTTATTTGGTTTAGTTTTTTTTTTTTTTTAGGTTTAGCTATACATTTCAAAAGGTATAGTTCAGTAAAATGTGGGATAATATATATATATATATATATATATATATATATATATATATATATATATATATATATATATATATATATATATATATATAATTTAGCATATATATAGCCTGTATATATAGAAATGTAGATATATGTCAATATATACAGGCTCATGTGATGACATTATATACAATATGCTCTACAAATGCAATTAGATGACATTAACTACATCATTATTATCTTTTCAACGTGCAATAGTGTGTAAATACTTCTTGTAAATACTTCTTGCAAAATATCAATCAACACCAATTTTATTTATATCTCTTTTTTCAAAAGAGCATGTTTAAAGTTATAATTCTATAGAAGCTAAAATTATCGCCTAGAATTTTTCGACACGTTTTGTTTAACTTGGCCTGATAACGTTAATGAATATCTGAACATAATTCAAGTGATCCATCGATTGTGCTTAATTGGTGGCTAAACATCACGTGATTACTAGTCCCGGGTGTGGTCAAATAAAATCATGAATAAATCGTATACGTCATTAGATGTAATGTGGTTGTGTTTGGTGAGGCAATGTGAAAACGTCAGATACATAGGCCCTATGTGATATTGTGTTTTCGTCGGAATCGATAGCTTTGAAGTTTAGCCAAATTTAACGATAACATTATGTAAATAATCAATTGTTTTAATTTAGTAAAGGCTGAAATTCAAAATTTAAGAAACAGTAAAATTTAAACTCGACAAGAGAATTAGGATATTCGAGAGGGTGACTTGCACTCAAGTGCAGCATTTCAATTAGCTTTTATTTATTGGACAAATCAGTAGTTCAAGGGAAATTCAAGACTAATGGTGAATCTGCTTCAGAATTGTGCTAATGATATTCTGTTCCGTCTAAGGCCTTGCAATATTCAAGAGATTAGCAAAACTATAAAATTATGGATTTATTAACTTTATTGCTTTTGTTTAAAAAAAAAAGAGTAGGCATACATTATTTTAAAGTCAAAGAAATGTAAAGAAGTACATCAGCTTTATTTTAACTTTATCACATAAAAAAGACAGATTATTGTATTGTGATTTTCAACTAAAATAAAGCCGTCAGATCCGTGTAAGTGCTAAAAGACAGGTAACATAAACCATGAATGTGACAAACTGTTCAGTGTTTGGAATTGATTTGACACGACATGGGTATCAGATGTTCCCGAACAGCCCTTCACTCATCGTAGTTAATGTTATCTTGACCTGCGTCGCGTTGTTTACATTTGTCGCCAACACAACCATCATGGCCGCCTTGATAAAGAGCAATAGCTCGAGGATATTCAGGCATGCGCAGAACGACATCTCCAAGACGCTGACCATCTCAATGGCCTTGACCGGAGCCCTGACTGGTCTGTTTATAATGCCGTTGGGAATATTTGAACTGATTCACGATGGGAAATGGATTCTGGGGGGTTTATCATGTAATGTGAGAATGGCATCGACAAGTATACTATGCGCGGTGTCTGTGTACCACATCACATCGATGGCCATCATAAGATATACAGCTGTGTGTAAGCCTATGTATTACAGACTATTTACCAACAAGACTGGGTATGTCATGGTTGTATTCTCGTGGATATTCCCAGCATCCATCATTATTGTCATCAACGCAACAGGTTGGTGGTTTCAGGGCAGAGAACAGGTAAACAGATGCCTTGAGCTGGCACAGTTGTGTGGACAGATGTACAACACATCAGCCATCCTGTTTATGTTTCCTGTCTGTGTATTCATTCCTCTAGCCTTGACCTACCCGCTTTACGTCTGCATCTTGCGGGATATCTGGAAGTTCAATCAGCGGAAGTCGCTATTTTTAGCTCGGAGATTCATGGATTCTAGCGAGACTTTAAATACAGACCGAAATGTTTTGTCTTTGGAGAGTAGTAGTGTTGCGGGCCACGTAAAGAAAGATTGCGTTTTAAATGAACAAGAAAGTTCAAAATCTCCTGAAGATTTGAACACAGTGTTCACAACGTCAGGCGACGGGTCTGGGAACACGCCCAGTAGACAGAGGGTGATGGAACGTCCTGAGAATCACCAGACCTCGAGGAATCTAAAAGCTAACCTCACCATCGGCTGCATCCTCGTCTGCTGTACCGTCTGCTGGATGCCATCTTGGATCCTGGCCATGGGCGCGCTGTTCGATATCTACCCCTGGCCGTACTGGTCAACGGTCATCATCATCTGGCTGGCGTACCTTAACTCAGCCATCAACCCATTTTTGTACTGCTTTAACAAAGTCGTCTGGAACGCCGTCAGGGCTCTGGTCTGCAGACGGCTTGCTGACAGTTAACGTTTTAAAGTTGTATGCATAGTTGGTAACAAACGTTCTAAAGTTGTATGCATGGTTGATAACAAGCGTTCTAAAGGTGTAGTCTTTATGTAATTGTAAATAAATATTATATTTCTAAAAATGTGTGCTTCAGAGGTTATTAAAAATGTATATGCAAGCATTGAGACCCATATCTTTTCTTCTTCTTCGTTCTTAATTTTAGTATTGGAAGGGATCCCCTCCAACACAATTAAGGAAACGTGTCAACTTGTTATGCACCATTGACTCCGATTTCAGCCTGCTTTTCTTTTTGGATTTGCTTCCATAGCCTTTGTCCAACCAAGAACAAACTACAAGGCAGCAGTTGTTTGATTTTGGAGTTGTCTCTCATAGAAGAGTGGCTGTCCCCAGCTAACGAGCCTCATCTGCCCGAGGGTTCGAATTTGGTTTAGCAACCATGAGCTTTACCGACTAGACCACTGAGACCCATATGATAAATTGTAAGCTTCTCATTGTTGATGCGGATTGTGAATGTTCAGGTATTATTCCAGCATCAGATGATAAAAATTTAATATCACTTAATATCCACATATGGTTATCATTTTTAAATCACTGGCTAGTGATGGCCACTATACTCCCCCCCCCCCATGACCATGTATTACAAGAGAAAGTGCAAAATTTAAACCAATAAATGCATCCATCTCCTTGATATAAACTTTGAAAATACTAGGATTATTGTAATAAATAATTCAACAGGAAAACAAAGTGTAAATATTGTTTTGTTTTTTATTATATCATTATTACATATGAAGGACTGAGTTAAAAACAAACCTGACATATTACATAACAGAATATACAAAGAATGCACCAAAGATGGCTGTGATTATAATAAGGGGATGTAGCTCTTGCAACAAGAAAAAAAAAACATTTTACTAACAAGCAAAAAAAAAATATGTTAACATCACAAGCAATCACTTTCAAAATTTAAAATAATTGTGTTTTTAAACTTTTGGTCCGATCCAGATTAAGAATATTTTAGCAAAAGCTTCAGCACTAGCAAGTCTTTAGTTGTAAAAGATATTTATATGTATTTTATTTGGCTTTTATACTGCTATGCCAGTGTTTCAGAACATCCCATAAATAAGGCATGAATAATTTACTAAAGGGACGTAACTCCAATATTAACAGTAAAAATTTCTATCTGACTGGTTGCAGCTGCTGGAAAGGTTAACCTAAGGGAAATAATTCGAAAAGCTGCTGGTTAAACTCTCTTCCTATCTGTCATCACTCTCATAATGCTTCCTAATCCACCGGCTGCAAAAGTCTGGAAAATGTCAAAGTAAAAAGTTATTAATTAAACTTAGGTATAAATATCTATGCTCACATTAGATAAAAAATTAAATTAAATTCTCACAAAGTAGCAAACACTGGGAAAATATAAATGGTAAAAAAGTGAAATTTACAGGATAAAATTAAAAAATAACAGGGTAACCACAAATGGTCAAACATATGATTAATAACAAAAAAAAAGAAAATGTGAGTTTCTGATTGTAGAAAAAAAAGAAATGAAAACCACAAATGTTTAAAATTAAATATTACAGAACACATTTAAATAAATCTTTTTGAAAAACACTAACAAAATGTTTTTAAAACCATTTTTAACAAATCATATGGCTACATATACAAGTTAAAATTCTACATTTTTTTACACCTTGGCATTGTATGCTGAGTACAAGGCCACACCACAGTCTACATTATATTTTTAGCGCAATTTCCATTCTGGAGAATTGCGTTTATTAACTCGTCTTTTCTGGGAATGTATAAATGGATGGATGGATGGATGGATGGATGTGTGTCCGCAGCTTTAAGTCGTATCTCCTCCTCAACGGAGCAATATCGATGACTAGTTCCAAAAGTAATTATGTTAAGCAAGTTACGAGGATGAACATAGGCCATAAAAATTCCGGGTTTCTTTCATGGATTTCCTGGAAAAGCCAAAAAACCTCGAAAAAAAGCAGTTTTTGGCCCATATCTCGGCAACCAGACCACTTAGCGACTTGAAACATTTACCAATCGATTCCTGCCATAACTTAGAACAATATTGCCGAAGAAAGTTTTTAAAAATATCCTTTCGTTCGGTCACAAAATTTTTTTTTAATTAATTAAAATTTGGACCGAATTAGTAGGCATTTTTTCCAACCACACCACACGCGTCATCACGTTCATTAGCTGCGCCATCACGCTCAATGGTGCGTCATCACGTTCAGTAGCTAGGCGCGCAATGGTTTTTAGTCATGTAACTCTATTGTAAATAAAACATGTATTTTAACCAATGGTTTTACTAACCCTGCTCTTGATTTACGCTACGACAGAGCTATTTTTAGATAACATAAGGAAATTGCGCTAAAATTGTCACTATACTTTTTAATTACCTTGTTTAACTATTGGTATGTACCAATCTGTGGTGAGTGGTCATAGGGAAACCAAACACATAAAGCTTTCATGTTAGCAATTGTGTGCAATACCACTTTGAGTGAACACATTATAAACATGTAATGTATGAACACTTAAGTGTCATCACATTGACTTTACTGTGGGGACTGTACCTGAGACTGGTCGGTCAGCAGCTGTGTACTCTACCACTCAACCATGTAACACACCTATCAAGACTACTCACCTTCTGATGCCAGGTGAGCAGGATGGCGCTGCTGTTCTCTGTTGGGGTCTCAAAGCCTCGGTAGATATATTTCATGAGCGTGTCTATACTTTTGTTATCTAAGGATTTAATACACTGGTCCATGTCCCCTTTGAACGACGTCAAGACTCTAACTGCCAGATTTGCTGCTCTATCCTGTAAGGAACATTCAAAAATAAATTTGTAATATATCATTAACAATGGTAGAGCGAAAAATTCACTAATGAATTTTCATTGAATCAATGCCATATAAGTAAACACCAATCCATGAAAAAAATGGCTACAAGTACAATGTTGATAAAAAAAACAACTTAATATGGTCATACTTTAACTGCCTGGTTTTTGGAGTTAGCTGGGGCATTCTGTAAAACAAGTTGCAAAGCTTCAGCACACTTATCTGTGTGCATCGTCAAGGAATCTTTCTATTTTAATTTTTTTTTACCCCTAATGTGACTCAACTTTATTTATTATAGAGGTAATTCATTTTCATTCATATATGTTTTATAAATGTTACATGTATTCAAAAATTCTACAACAAGGTTAAAAGAAAATATGGGTGCTTTAAAATTGTAACATTTAGTTACTTTTATTATTGCTATGTGTAATATAATGAAATTTTTTTAAAGAATAAAACAGTTATTTAGAAAATGCTAAAAATAGACCAGAAGAGTAAAATGTTAGAATATCTGTTGAGTGTAGTTTGTATAAAAAAATTACAATTTTTTCTGTGTTCTTTCAAGATGATACAAATCAAAAAAAAAAAAAAATTATAACACAATCAATAATGAAGGATATCTTGCTAACAGGTTGTTGATTTCAGTTTCATTTGGGCCCTGGTCAACACCGGATATCTCGCCATCTTCATCATCTTTAAACCTGAGACAAGAAATTTAAAAAGATATAACGTCACTTATAAGCAAGATGCTGACCAATAGTTTCTGACAACAACAGTGCAGTACTTTTTTATTCAGCTATAAACTATCGAACTACATTGATAATGTAATTGTCTTCCGTAAAATACTAAAAATGTTCTGTTTCTATACCAGGTTCTCACTGCACCTGCTCTCTCTCATCTAGCTTACTTTAGTATGATTTTTACACATAACTTACATTTGAATAGGAAAAAAAATATGAATAATACAAAGGATCAATCTGATTTAATGATAATCCTAAATTTAATTGTTGATTCAAGTATTAAAACAAAACCTCTAAAGGTTAGAATTATAACTTATTTTGGGCAATATTTTACAATATCATAAATAATTACTCTTGGCCATACAGTTCGCCTATTATTTCAAGCCAGAGTGTCAAAGGTCAATTTCATATTTAAAGCTATATCAATGTTTTTAAATTGACCATTGCAAAAATGTTATCCCACATAACAAAGATCTTAATAAAATATGGACAATCGTTCTTTAAGGCTATAGTCTTGTAATAAAATTGTAAGACTTTGTAAGCCATAATAAAAATAGGTCTATTTGGGCCAAAGATCATTTTCACTTCCACTTCTACTGCAAGACAACAAGTATCTGTCATAAAAAACAAAATATAAACACAACATAGTCTTGAATTAACGCACTAGGCAAACATATATGGATCCCTCCCCCTTTTTTTTACTGTTTAAATTTGGCAGCATATGATACGCCGCGGGTCGGCTCATATACTAATATAGGTCTACTAATAGATCTACTACTTTGTATTTAATCTAAACTATGTTTGAAATTATTATGTATTTTGTCCTGCAGTTTAAAAATGAAGCAGTGTTGATTTCCTTTAGGACTCATTAGATGTCTACTGATAAAAAATGCAGAATATTGCGTTTGTTAACACATTGGTTGTGGTTGATTCAATAATGTGGCAGCTAAAAAAGATAGCCCTAGAGCTGCGAGTTTCAATACAGCTTTAACTCTACTACCAGTAATTAGTGCCTTTTGATATTTTATTTTTTTCATATTGCAAACATCTTGTGTGTTGTTTTTCTTTTTAGAATCTTTCAAAGTTTTCAAGAATAAAATAATTCAAGAAATTCCAATAACTTCCATAATTTTTCAAGAACTCCCATAATTGCGCGCTTTTGTTTTCTTGCCAACTGGCAAAAAATCCTACCAGGGGACACTGGTCACTACGAGTTTAGCAGGCACACAGTGTAGAATGAACACAATTGCTATTTGAGATCATCAGTGACGATACTTCTCTCCTGTGAACAGATTTAGCGGACTAGCGATTCTGCGCAAATGTAGCCTTAATATTTTATCACAAGATAAATGGCCTGTTGAGGGAGAAATACAATGGGCTAGTTTGATAGTGTTGTCTTTTTCTCTAAACTCTAAACCAAAACCGCGACTTCAAATTTAATTTTCCGGCTTTAGAATATTTCCTATGTGTTCCATGTGACGTCACGTTTTATTTCCTGTTTGACTGTGAAAGTTTTTACTTTGCTTGTGTTTTCTTTATGTTGTTTCGGAATGAACGACAGTGAAAGAATAGTGAAATATTAGTTAGGTCTACAATTTCACCTAAATGCTTAGATCTACTTGCTATTCAAATCTAGAATCTAGACTCAGCTGCTTTAATCTTTTACTACACTAGGTTTGGACTGGAGGGCCTAGCCTATACTTCCTAGATCTAGCTAGGTGCCGGCCTACCACTACCTACTGCTACTCTAGGTAAAATCTTAGTTTAGCGTCGTAAATTCCAACGTAGCTAGTAATGTGCGATGAAGGTAACTAATGAATATTTCTTTCATTTGGCCATATTTATGTCATATTTTACATAATATAACAGATAATTGAATAACAAATCACAATCTAAGACCAAACCAGTCATAAATATCCTGGAATAAACTTTAAACTACCCCGTTCGAGACAACAATGAGTAAACACAAGCAGCGGCCATGTTTCAAAAACAATAATAGACTAGTTTCCCTTGAAAAATTGTCTATTCGCATGTCTTTTGTGTTGATTTTGTGGTTTAATATGCTTGTTTTGTATTGTTTTAATATATGCCTGGGGGTCGTCCATAAATGACGTCACACTCGTAGGGGGAAGGGGGGTCCGTAATTTTGTGACGGTGTGTGGTGAGGGGGAGGGGTTCAGATGGTGCGACGTCACACTTTTGCATTATAAAAAAGCAATGTTAGAAAACGAATTTTAGACGTTATTTTGCATTTTAGAAAACTGTTTTAATACATTGTAGTAACAATAGATTAAAATACTCTATTTTGACAGAGTTCAGACAAGATTTTGGAAAAATATAGCTGTTTTAAAAAAAATTCAACTGCAATTTTGAGGGAGGTTGTAGGCTGAGGTGTGACGTCATTTTAGGGGGGGTCTGGCTTTTGGTGACGACGTGTGACGGAGGGGAGGGGGGGGGAGGTAAAAATTGTCAAAAAAGCGTGACGTAATTTATGGATGACCCCCTGTATAGTAATTTTAATTTTTTTTTTCAATATAGTTGACATGAATGACTAATAGACCTTTTCAGACTTAATAGTGTGCATCCAAGACCACAACAATTGTTGGGAGGTCGAACTTTTGAACACTTTATTTGCAGTAATCAAATCAATATTAGATCGCTCATAAATGATGTCGCTCTTAAGATAGTAATGACAGCGTGCATGATTACAGAACAAACATATGAACATATTGTTTCAGATAGAAATTGTGATTTGTGGTGGGGAGAGGTTGAGTAGAACTCAGCGATGTGATTTTGAAGACGGGTCAGGTTTTTTCTCTCGTGAAAACAGGGGATGATTGTGGGAGAAAGACCAGCTGTAGAAGTATGACGGGTCATTCATTGGTGATCCATTTTCTCAGTGGGGACGATAGAACTATTAAGAAGGGTCAAGAAATGTAAAAAGCTTGCTGAGTCGCATTTCTTGAACCCCACCTTTTTCATTCCCCCACTTAGTACATCGTCACCGAGTTAGCGCTCGCACGTGACGTCATGTACCGGTACCCGCCGACCGTTAGGCTAATTTTATATTTAAAAAAAAACAACAAGCACTGCCTTTTTGACGCTTATGCGACGTTTAATTTGATTACATAAGTTGGTGTTCATTAAACAGCCCCTAACACACCTATCACTCGTCCATTTAAACGTACGTAGTTATTCCTGCAAGCTTGCTGCCTATTAAGCTCCCACCGTATAGAACTAGACTACCCATATTAAGCTCCAAAAGAAGCTTGGTGAAAACAGGATGGCTGTCCGATTTTGAAGCTGCTCTGCGCTTTATAAAAAGCACAATAAACGATAAGATGACACTTATATTAAAGTAAATTATAGTTCTGAATCTTGATACATTAAAAGTGATATTCGGAAATTAAGAGCCAGACAGTCAACATGATATTTCAATTTAAGTCCAAGAAAATAAATTTCCTCAAACGATGGAACATTACTAAATTTTCGCGCAGTTTAGCGAAATTGAATTTAAGTATTTACGTCATCTTACAAAGCGCGATAGCCTACTGGTGCTCTAACGCGGCCCATGCTAATGGCCGTATTCCTAACGCCCCGCATTAGACGCGGCTTATTCGTTGGCAGGCATTTGGTGGCAAGCCTTTTTGACGGGGATAATGTGTTAAGTTAAGGCCGTTTTGCCAAATGTTTTGCCAAAACAGCAGGCTTGCAACATTTGTGATGATTCGTTTTAAGCAAGGTATACGTATACTAATGCTTATTTATCGTTATTTTGATTGAACAAAGCATTATAGAGGTTCTCCATCAACCACCTAGGTATTTTTCCCCGTTCACCTCCTTTCGTGAGACCGACACATCATAAATTGCGGAGCGGAGCCGCCTGAGTTGACGTCACAAATCTTCACTCACTCCCGTAGCAAATCATATGTGATATCATTTATGGACAACCCCATACCACTCACTTGGGTACTTGATGATGTTGACATTTTGACAACAAGGGATAACCAAAATGTGTCTGGCGGGTGGAGACTTGCGATCGACCATAATGACAACACGCACTTAAGTTAAGGGGTGGAGTGGCTGATTATTTTAGGTGATGTTTTACGAGGGAAGCGGGTGGATAATACATTTTGTCTCTCTGTATATATAAATGATGACAAACATTTATTGTTGTCAAAATTAAGGCTAGAGATCTTAGATAAGGCAGAGCGAAGCGTAATTTTTTACATTGGGGTCATCCATAAATGACGTCACGCTTTTTTTGACAATTTTTACCTTCCCCCCCCCCATTTCTCCGTCACACATCGTCACAAAAAGCCAGCTCCCCCCCCCCCCTAAAATGACGTCACACCTCAACCTACAACCCCCCCCCCCCCCCCTCAAAATTGCAGTTGAATTTTTTTAAAACATCGATATTTTTCCAAAATCTTGTCTAAACTATTACAATTTATAAACAGTTATCTAAAACGCGAAATAACGTCTAAAATTCGTTTTCTAACATTGCTTTTTTATAATGCAAAAATGTGACGTCGCAACATCTGAACCACCCCCCCCCCCCCTCCCCCTCATCACACATAGTCACAAAATTACGGACCCCCCCTCCCCCTATGAGTGTGACGTCATTTATGGATGACCCCTTATGACTTGTTGTGACATTGACAACAAAAATATGACGGAGGTTGGGGTTTAATTAAGGTAAAGAGAAGTAAAAAGAATGTCATAAGTTACGATAGAATCACTAATTGATGAAAAGAAAAACCTGAAATGAAAATAGTGAACATTCAAACAATAAGAAAAAACTCAAACTATATAGTAATAGTAAGATCAAATAAACATTAGTAAAAAAAAACGTGATTTAAAACATGGATACAAGTTGCATCTCACAATGCTTCTAGAATTAATAAAATTGTTTGTTAGGAGATTCAGTTTTTAAAGAGCAGAATTTAAAAAAAAATGCTTTGTTATACGGACTATACAACAAGACAATCATATTTAAATACATTTTCATACGAATAGAAATGAAAGGGAAGCTACTCTAAATAACATTTTCTTAAGATGGCTGCTGTTTTTAATAGCAAATTTACTATCTCGAACAGGGTTGATAAAAATCCTATTTAAATTGATTTAACCATAGTCCTAAATGGTGATCTATTAGGCCTATTCAATTATTTATAATATTTTATCAAAATATACGAAAATATACTCATATTTAATGACATATTCATTATTGCACTCTCTCCTACATTACTAGTTTTGGCCGAATTTACGACGCTAAACTAAGATTTTACCCTACTCTACTCTTCTTTCAGTTTTTTACTTTTCCTTTTAAAAAAAAATTATTATTTTACCGTAAGCAGAAGTAATAAGTAACATTATTACCTATCTTCGTCAAACTGGTCTACATCAACTTTTCTAAACTTGCTAGAACTTGTATTTTTCGCCATTGTGATAATCGTTTAATAATGTTGCTGCTATTCACTAAAATAACAGTTTATCACTTTCCTGCTCCACCCCGGAAGTAAAACCGGAAATTTTTTTTAATACTGTGCTATTTAAAACTGAATTGTATTAATATATCAGTGATTTTTCATTAAAATAACAATAGCCTTTTCAATTAAGAAAATATTAATAATAATGAGTTTTAATTTGTAAAGAACATGCGTCGTATGTCAACTTTAATTTGCTGTTAATTGCATTAATCTGTTTTGTCTGAAAACAAATGTTGTATCAATAGTAATAATAACCGGAAACTCAACACGTCTATTCCCACGTCCAATCCTTTTCAGCTTCAACTCATCTACGATGGTAGGTGTATTTTATCAATCCGTTTCAATCTTTACTAATTCTTTACTAAAATAATATTAAATTGTCCCAAATTTATGTTTTAGATACGTAGTTAATTATCAGTTCAGTATTAGTCAGAATAAACACTGAGAATGAATTTACTTTAATTTTTGTTTTGACCATTTCACTATGTAATTTGCCGGTTTGTTTTTATCTTAGTTTGATTATGCTTGTTTGTTAACGGTGGCTGTTCTTATTTTACTCCCTAATGTAATGTGTACTTAAAAATTCTTTGGCAGGCCAAAGTCAAGGCTAAGGAACTCCGTGGCAAAAAGAAGGAAGAACTTCTGAAACAGCTTGATGAGCTAAAAAATGTAAGCTAAAATTAAATTCAGGATCAAATTTTCAGATCTGGATCTAGACTACATCTAGAAGACGAGAATATAAATCGGCGTTTTAATTAGTAACCTCAAGTAGTCCTGTTACATTTTAAACTAAGCAGGATTTTGGTTTAGTGCTGTTTTTCTAATTGCAGGAACTGCAGACCCTTCGTGTTGCCAAAGTAACTGGTGGAGCTGCAGCTAAATTAGCTAAGATGTAAGTGCTCTAATCGTCTTTTTACAAAGACCTCTACTTAAGTATGCTGTGAGCAAGGATGATGACAATTTCTATTCTGAAAACTTTTGATGTAACTTTTCGGATCGATAGGCCTGACTTGCTTGCACTTCATAGGTTGGTTAATCAGTTGGCCAAGACCCTTGGCATTGGCTTAATGAAATTCGGTGATTTAAAGTAGGGGTATGAACAAACCTAAAATAACTAGTTTTTAAACCCTAATCGCTCTTAGATCTACATGTTTTATTACCTCACGAGCTGACCAGCGGCGTAAGCATACTCAAATATGTAGTTTATTTTCTATATTTTCGTAATTTGTGAATTCATCACTAGCTATGCTGCAACAGAAAATGTTTGCTTTAAAGCAGTATCAATAGCTCGTAAAGGACAATTATCCACAGCTCAGCAGACTGGTGGGGGTAGTTGAGATAGGCCTAGGGAATGAGGGAGGGGGGCAGTTGTGGCATGCTTATGTGGTGTCCCTCTATGAAGAGAATTATATATATAGATTTGCTACTAAAATCTGTTTTTAAAAGCCCAATCTATTCTTGTTTCTGAAATTAATTTGAGGTAGGCATCCTAGACATGGTCCATGTTATGGTTTTTTACAAGCTTTTATTTATCACTTCCTCTGTCTGTCTGTCTAGACGGAAACGCAGGAGTGAAAATTCGGACAGTTCTACTTGACCGACACGATTCACAGTTGGCACGTGGGTCAAGACATGAAGACAATGCAATCTGAAACTAAATTTGACTTAATTGGATGCCTAATTGATTTTTTATGAATTAATTAAAATTTGGACCGAATTAGTAGGCATGTCTAGCCAACCACACCACACGCGTCATCACCTTCAATAGCTGCGCCATCACGTAATGGCTGCGTTCAAAAACCATTGCGCGCCTACTGAACGTGATGTTCAGTAGGCGCGCAATGGTTTTTAGTCATGTAACTCTATTGTAAATAAAACATGTAAAGTACTGAAAAAAAAATTCATAAAAAACGTTTTAATAACAAGCTTTTATGTAATGATGCACTAAAAAGTAGAAAATAAATTATAGACTACTATTTAAATAACTATAAAGAAAAGTGTGGGTGTCTTCCTTAACATTAGTAAAGGTATCCAATAGATACTAAAGTGACCCACGCTTTTCTTTATAGTTATTTAAATAGTAGTCTATAATTTATTTTCTACTTTTTAGTGCATCATTACATAAAAGCTTGTTATTAAAACGTTTTTTATGAATTTTTTTTTTTAAGGGTGTTAACTAGTGAAACAAGTATGATGAACCATTGTCCTGAATTTATGATTACAATTACAAAATACTTATGGATCGATAGGACTGACTTGTTTCACCCAGTTACCTGTTGTTGCAAGTACAATTTTCATCTTGTCTCATGGTTTTTGTGTTTGTTGCAGCTACACTGTGCGCAAATCAGTTGCTCGTGTCCTCACTGTCATCAACCAGACACAGAAGGATAACTTGCGTAAATTCTACCGTAAGAAGGCTCACAAACCCAAGGACCTGAGACAAAAGAAGACCAGGGCAATGAGACGTGCACTCACACCTTATGAACTCACCTGCAAGAGTAAAAAGGAGTTACGAAAACAGCGTCTTTATCCAATTAGAAAGTATGCTGTAAAGAATTAAAGTTGTATGATTTGAAATTATTTAAGTTTCGTTGGTGTTGTTTTTTTTTTTCATTTTCTGTATTTCTTTCTTGTTAGTTTTACTGTTTAGCCATATGCTGAATATAACAGGTTTGAAGTTTTATATTGCCTATTATTATAATGGATATTCGGCTTCCTATAAATTTGTTCTTTGTTCCCTATTATTTATTTCTAGAACATTGATCTTATTTTCAAACAGAAGTACTTTTTTTTTTAGACCGGCTGTTTCAAGTGAATGCTTCTTATTTTGAAATTGTTGAGACATTGAAACTATCTTGAACTTGAAAAATGGCATTGTCAAATACTTTATTTAATCACTAAAAGGCACGAGGTTACCATTATAAGCTAGTAGTATAGGATCAATAATTAGAGTACTCAAATTCTGGTTCTTTTAGTTTTAGCTCTCAGATTTTCAGGCAGTTGTTGTCTGCTAAACAAAAGTCAGGTGCAGTTTACTTAATGTTTTTGTGAAGAAAATCTGAACAATTGAATAGAAAGTTATTGTAGGCTTCATACTACAGTATTCTGTCTTCAGAATATCCATGGTGTGATTTCATGATTTCCATCAAACCCGTTTAGAAAGTTGAAACATACAACATGGTCAAAATTGATTTTCTAGCAACATAGTTCTGACCAGAGTAGATTATAATGTTACTTGTTAATAAGGGTCACCTGTAATTACTCAATTAGCAATATACATTTTTATGGGCTGTGTTAATTTGCTTTCTTCCTTTAATTCAACATTTTTTCACAACTCATACACTACCTAGTGTGGTCCCAGCATTGATGGACCTATTTTTCTTACACTTCAAATTGCAGTTAACAGATATATCATCCTGATGGCTCAGGATAAATACAAACCTAACCAATTAGTGTTGACGTAGGGGTCGAGTCTGTAGAGCTCATGGTTGCTAGACAGAAAAGTCTTGAGTTCGAACCCTCGGGCAGATGAGGCTCTTAAGCTGGGGACAGCTCTTCTAAGAGAGACAACTCCAAAATCAAACAACTGCTGCCTTGTACTTATTCTTGGTTGGACAAAGACTAAGGAAGCAAATCCAAAAAGAAAAGCAGGCTGAAATCAGAGGCAATGGCGCATAACCAGTTGACAAGTATCCTTAATTATGTTGGAGGGGGTTAACTTCCAACGCTAAAAATTAAGAACGAAGAAGAAAGAAATGTTGACGTAGCTATGTAGATCTTAATAAAAATTAGTTGAACACGACTATCCTGTCACATGGATGTATTTTTCTCTGTTGTACCGGGGATAAACTAAAATAATGCACCAAAATGTAGAAATTAGATTTTATTTAAATTAAATTTAATTATTCTATTTAAATTACTATAGTGTAAAGAAAAGCATGGGCCACTTTATTATCTATTGGATACCTTTACTAATATTCCCATGCTTTTTCTTTATACTAAAAAAGGCTTGTTATTAAAACGTTTATTATTTTAGAAAATTCAGTTCTTTTTATTTTTAAATGCATGACTAGCTAGAAAAAGAATGACTTCTAAAATCTCGCGTTTAAATAGTTTAATACAATTATTACTAGTGAGCATGATGATATTTCAGCAAACAAGAAGTGTTACATACATGTCTTTTTAAAGCTCATGAGTGCCATACATGAAGCACTTGCATAGCTCATGAGTGCCATACATGAAGCACTTGCAGTTCATTTGACACACAATTCTTACATTTAGCAGTATTTCTGGACACAAAGCTGCCACATTATGTTACATCTATTTATAGCTTTCATTACAGTTATCGTCTCTTCTCAAAAACTACCTCCATTTTCCGCACATTAGCTCTAGTCTGCGTCAGTATTTCTCGTCCCTTCACCACTGAATAGAATTAGAATTGCCGAGTAGTCCTTATTCACCAGAAACCTGCAAATTCTCCTTTATTTTTCTTAATTTCTGAATGAGTATAGAAATTTATCAACTTTACAGCCAATTGACTCTACAGCACCCAACCAGAGTTCTATAGGCGTGCAGCAAGATGGGAGAACGCATTTGTTTAGCTGTGTTGATTACATCATCCATTGTCAAGACGGCATTGTTTTTGACATGGTTAACATTCTCTCGGTCCCTCTAGTATAAGAGGTTCTTTTACACTTTTAGTGAACGAATGATAAGAGCTGCAGCACTAGGAACAAGCTCTATATTTGCTTGTTTGTGTTTTACTGCAATATAGAGACATCTCCAATAAGCGGTTCCCTTCTGAATGGCATTACCAACTTTATGAGCAAGAGAAGGAAGGTATAGATGGCACTTCTCCAACAGCTCTGCAATACCGTTAAAATAGCACTTGGATTTTTTTAGGGTGTTGTTTTCAGGCCACTCGCTTTTCAGCCGACACCACTCGTAATTAAAATTACTTTAACTTTAACTAAATAAAACGTTCCCGTTATGGATTATATATATATATATATATATATATATATATATATATATATATATATATATATATATATATATATATATATATATATATATATATATATATATACATATATATATATATATGTAATACCTAATAATTAATTACAAAGAAAATTTGATATATTTGAGTCATTATTAATCATGAATTTGTTTCTAAAGATGGAAATCTCTGTATTTGAAATGGGACAAAAGTTACAATATTTGATCCGACATACCTAAATACAAGGTGTGTGGGGGGGGGGGGGGGGGAGGGTGTAGGCCTAAAGTAGGCTAATGTGGTTTCACCCACGACTTCTGTCCTACCCATGGTAGAGTACAGGTACCCGGACTGCGTTCAACCGATCTTCCCCCTCGACCCCCCCCCCCCACCCTAACGCAAATCCGCGGAAAAAAATGCTCATTTATATTCGGTCTAGTCTGGAATCGACGGTCTTTAAGGACAGTTGCGTGGGCTGATCCAGTCAAAGCTTCGGGATCAAACGTCGCCACACAAGTGTCCGACCCAAGGACTTCCATAGACGGGGGGAGGGGTGAAACGTGTCCACGGCACTCCTTGCTAACCGTGACCTTGGGGATCTAACCGCGGTCAGGCTGGCCAATACCTGGGCGCCGTAATTGGTGGCCCGCCAGCTCTATAAGGCCGTCGGATGATCTTTTCACGGTCGGTGACTCTTGAAATCATTCTGATTGGTGCTTCTCCTGAAAAGTGAATGGTATGTTTATAAGACTAGCGGCTAGACTAGACGTGTTGATCTTAACACCGGCGTTCACGGGTCGTCAGTCAGATCAATTTATATCTTGGTTGGTGATCATTGAGAAAAATTAAGAAGTAAGTTGTTTACGTCTTATAAAGTTAATGTCATATATATATATATATATATATATATATATATATATATATATATATATATATATATATATATATATATATATATATATATATATATATACATATACATATATATATATAATTCACAACATTTGCTTTAGTTAAATGCATGTGTTTTTTTGGTGTTCACATAATGTATTATATCTTACGGTATGTCACTGTGAGAATGCCGTGTAACGTTATTTTAAAATAGTAACCGAACCCGTCGGGTTATTTCATTTGAGACTGCAACAGGTTAATACATTTTTATACGTACCTGAACATTGCTGTTGGCAACGTTAGGCTACTTGTATAACTACCTGACTACTCACAAAATACATGAACAAAGACAACATCCGATGATGGTATAATCGATACATCGGAAACGTTTATCAGTTTATTTTAATTTTCTTTTATAATCAAATTGACGACACCTAATTCTGCAGCCATTAGCGTTTCCCCTTGGAGGTGCGCCTATAAACGGAGCCTGATAGAGCTAATTGCTTGTGGACCCTGTTGCCTTGGGCGGCCCCAAAGATATTTTTGAAAACCGTGGTGCTCATTTTGACACCATTTTTTTTTCAAACCGTATAGAGGCAGATTTCGCTTTCCCCTACACCGATATACATGTCGACGACAATATATAGATCTATGTACTTATATGGGGCCTCCAATCAGTGTTTCTTCCAGCCTTTTTTCTCCGGGGTGCATTTGAAATTTTCGGGGGGGGGGGGGGGGAGGGGGGCGGACAACAATTTCCGGGGAGCCGGACACTGTCAAAAAAATAAATTTCCTATATAAATTCCATTTCGTTCGGGGCGGGGGGCGGTAGACTTTCTTCGGGGGAGGGGGGGGGGGGCGGTGCACCCCTGAAGAGATGCCTGGAAGAAACTCTGCCTCTAATTGAAAATAGCGTAGAGCCTTATGGAATCTTAACTCGGTCCTGCCTGCCAGTAATTTCACCAGCCGGGTGAGTTCGACTCAAAGTTGGTGTTGATTGGGACAGAGAAATCTGGGTGGATTCGACTCGAAGTTGGTGTTGATTGGGACAGAGAAATCTGGGTGGATTCGACTCGAAGTTGGTGTTGATTGGGACAGAGAAATCTGGGTGGATTCGACTCAAAGTTGGTGTTGATGTGGACTGAGAAAACCAGTCAAGTACTTTGTTTGATGTTAGAGACGTCTTTAGATCTCACACCATTGTAGTTGTCTGCTTGTGATTAACTTTAGTGTTGTCTGTTTCTGTGTTAGCTCTTTGACACGGGGTTAATAGGGTCAACTACAAAACACATCACTTTATAATTCATCCCACGGTTTGGCTAGGTTTTGTGTTTGATTTCAAGAATAATCAAAGTTTTACAAGCAGTTATTTTTTTTAAAGATTCATCATTCAATACACGTTACCCTCATATGCATAGTAGTACCAATTAATCCTCACACACATATTCAATATTCGGTCACATATATGTACCCAATAATATCCCCACATACATGTACCCAATAATATCCCAACATATATTATATATACCCAATAATATCCCGACATATATGTACCCAATAATATCCCCACATACATGTACCCAATAATATCCCCACATATATGTACCCAATAATATCCCCACATACATGTACCCAACAATATCCCCACATATATGTACCCAATAATATCCCCACATATATGTACCCAATAATATCCCCACATACATGTACCCAATAATATCCCCACATATATGTACCCAATAATATCCCCACATATATGTACCCAATAATATCCCAACATATATGTACCCAATAATATCCCCACATATATGTACCCAATAATATCCCCACATATATGTACCCAATAATATCCCCACATATATGTACCCAATAATATCCCCACATATATGTACCCAATAATATCCCCACATATATGTACCCAATAATATCCCCACATATATGTACCCAATGAATAATATCCCCACATATATGTACCCAATGAATAATATCCCCACATATATGTACCCAATAATATCCCCACATATATGTACCCAATAATATCCCCACATATATGTACCCAATAATATCCCCACATATATGTACCCAATAATATCCCCACATATATGTAACCAATAATATCCCCACGTATATGTACCCAATAATATCCCCACATATATGTACCCAATAATATCCCCACATATATATACCCAATAATATCCCCACATACATGTACCCAATAATATCCCCACATACATGTACCCAATAATATCCCCACATATATGTACCCAATAATATCCCCACATATATATACCCAATAATACACCACATATATGTACCCAATAATATCCCCACATATATGTACCCAATAATATCCCCACATATATGTACCCAATAATATCCCCACATATATGTACCCAATAATATCCCCACATATATGTACCCAATAATACACCACATATATGTACCCAATAATATCCCCACATATATGTACCCAATAATATCCCCACATATATGTACCCAATAATATCCCCACATATATGTACCCAATAATATCCCCACATATATGTAACCAATAATATCCCCACGTATATGTACCCAATAATATCCCCACATATATGTACCCAATAATATCCCCACATATATATACCCAATAATATCCCCACATACATGTACCCAATAATATCCCCACATACATGTACCCAATAATATCCCCACATATATGTACCCAATAATATCCCCACATATATATACCCAATAATATCCCCACATATATGTACCCAATAATATCCCCACATACATGTACCCAATAATATCCCCACATATATGTACCCAATAATATCCCCACATATATGTACCCAATAATATCCCCACGATCGACGTCATTATCTACATACTCCCACATAAAAAACCACACACAAATGTTTACCACGCTGTGTTTCCACCACACTTAGATCTATTAAAATCAAATATGGCCTGACACACATTTATACCCAATTCCCAGAAATGGCCACACACATATTTGTACCCTATTTCCGTTCCCCACCCCATATTCAATACAGAATTCAATTACAGAATATCCCCCCCCCACACACACACACACATATATATATATATATATATATATATATATATATATATATATATATATATATATATATGTATATATATATATATATATATATATATATATATATATATATATATATACATATATATATATATATATATATATATATATATATATATATATATATATATATATATATATATATATATATATATATATATATATATATATATATATATATATATATATATATTCCCTTTATCCCATACAGAGTTCTGATCCGATACTCTCTACATATATTTGTACCCAATATTCCACAACACAAAAATTTCCCCATATTTCATCAGAACAACATTTTTATTTATACCACAAGTTGCATTTATTCTATACTTTAACGGTTGTCTACGAACTTCCAAAAGAATGTTGCGCCCATTCAATTTCACAGTCAACAAGTTTGTGATCGAAACTCAATACATAATTCAACTGTCCAATATTTTTAAGACCAAAGATCAACACATAATTCAACATCCCGATATTCTAAAGACTAAAGCTCAATACATTATTTGAGATCCCAATTAGAATAACTGTTTTATTTTCAAATACAAATTGTTATAAAAAAATAGGTGATAAAATTTCCTTAAGTCAACGGGTAACCCTTTGATTATGTTTACGTGTTGAATCGAATAGCTTAGCTTTGCTTGTTGAGACGGGCTCTAGGTTATAATGTTAGCGTTCTTGGGGATTTCCGTTTTTGAACCGACACGCGTTTTCACTCTATTCAACGTGGCTTTGATTTTGTTGTGAAAACAGAATTGTTTGTCTGTGATTCAATCTGGTGGTTCGCAGCCTGCCGTTAAAAGGGCTATGGCACTTGTGGCATATAGAATCTAGGCCGTGTGAAATTAGTGTCACGCTTCAGTAGATTTTCATAATAATATTATAAAAAAATTCCAAAGTGGCATGTACCGCAGGTTATGAAATATTAATATTTCGCTTTCTTTCAAACAACCACACCCGCATTACAACCCACACGTTGTTTAGCCGCGAATAATTTTTGGTGTCAATATCTTTAGACTATTCTCACGACTCCTGCTCAGCCTTGACCTTTATACCGCGTCACAAACTTTGAATGGATGTTTAATTGTCTATTGTCACAACTATAAAGAAAACAGTGCTCCCAAAAGCTGCATTAAAAAACGTCTATAGATAAACTTCGTTACGATTAATTATGCAATTAATAAAGCTATCAAGGGGGTGGGGTGAGGTGGGGGTGGAGATGGAGATGGGGTGACACCAACTACAAAATCTAAATAAGGAAAAAAAGTTGTGCTGGATATTTTCAACCACTGATGCGTTAATTTTTTTAATCAATCAATAACTGGGGTGTGGGTGACACAACATCTATTAATTTACTATTAAAAATGCTTTTTATCCCCATTTTAATTAATTGGTGGATTCGTAAAATGTGTGCTCGAATTGACGCCATTATGCTAAATGGGAAAGGGTGTGGGGAGGTGACACCAATTACAATTTTTACCGATAAATAACGTACTGATCACAACAAAATACACCGTGTACGAGAGATGGAGGTTAAAGATGCTGATCGCTGCCCTTTCTTCAACCGTGTCCTTCAACGAGACACTTTGCAAGCAGAACTTGAAGTTTGATGTACGGTTTGCAAGAAAAAATGTAATATTTTATTTTAATAAAAAAAACCTGTTAATTGAGTGTCGGCGACAGTTGATTACCGTAAGACAACTACAGTTTAACTGCTAATGGTGGGAGGGGGGGTTGGATGAACTAGAACTAGAATGTTGTTGAGGTGTCAAAAATAACATAGCATTTGTTAAGTATTTGCAGTGTAAAAAACTGTTGGTTTTTGTCGTGTAGGTGGTTTGTGAAGTTGTGTTGGGGGTATATGTTAGTAGGGACGGCGTGTGGTACGAAAGGGCCAAGGGGGGGGGGGGGGGTTGCAAAATTAGCTTGATGTAATGTATGGACAGATTCTAATTAGAGAAATCCACATTTCACAGGAAGTCTTGTTTTATTTTTTGTTTGTGACACATTCCTTCAGACTGTGTTGTGTCGCCAATGTGAGAGGGGACTGCATAAATTTGACGCTGCAGAGAAAGTAAACAGAGAATCTGTGAGACACAGGCAGGAAATCTACCTTTATGAGAAGAGAACTACAGAGGAGAATCCAAGTGTGCTGGAGTGGGGAGCCAGGACGATCTAAGAGGATCTGACTGGGTGAAGTCATGCTACAATGTGTTCTGGTCCTCGGCTTGTATTCACTAGTATCTCATGGTTTAGAAATAGGTAAGTTGTGAATAATTTTGACCTCATACAACAAAATAAATAGTTTACGTCTAACAGCGACATGTGCTATAATAAAGCGAGAATGATCTCCGCTAGGCCTAAGTTTTCTCGTATTTTTCTTTTTTAACAGTAAAGGGGATGGCACTCTTCGTGCAATCGCTTCTAGAAATTAAGAAATATATAGAAGTTAGCACACCAAACGCGATGTGAGATTATAAAAATTCTTATGGCAACAGAGCTAAATACTACTTCCGGTCACCGGAAATTATGTAATATTTTACAGAGTCAAAAGAACTGGATATTATACCTACGGATGAAATTGTGTCAACCTTAAGGATATTGTAATCATATTTTGGGTATTTTAGAAAGCTGAAAAAGAGTAAAGTACCATTTCCGGTTTTCGGGGGTCATACGAACATTTAAATTTATCAAAGCATAAAATCTTCTACTTATCTATGAACGTAAGTTCACCCGGAAATAGATAAAAGTAGCACTTCCGGTTTGCGGACATCGTACACAAGTTGAAAGAAACTTAAACGTTACTCTCGACATTGGCTTTTGAAAGACTGGAAGTAGAGTAATTATCACGTCTGTTACTGGAAATTGCTCAACTGAGATACAGATTTATAAACTTCGTCAACCTAACGAAACTGTGTTCAAGTTATCGTGTTTGCAATACACACACAGACGGGCAGGATTGCTACATGAAGCTTTCCAGCTCCAATAGGTTATAAAACGTCACAATTTGTCAAAATCTCGATTCATAGTTTTGCACGATTCCAATGCAATCTCTAGATTCCGTATACGATAAAGAACGAAGGTGTAAAACGGTGAAAACTTTCAAAACTTCTGTTAATTTTTACGCATGATTATAATACTCCCTCTATACTCTGTGTAAGAGAGTGTAAAAAAGGCTGAAATCTTACGAGTAAGCAAGTACTATTTTTTTATTGTCACAACGTCAATACATTAGCGGCTCTGGGTCGAGTGTCATCGGGTGGGGTTCGAACCCTCCTCTTCCGCACTGTAACAGTGTATTGAGGCGTGTCCAGTCATTCACATTTCTTTAGAGAGTTTTCAACTTCACAATTCACGGTTACCATATTTCTACGTTGGTTATTGAAGGCCTAAAAGGAAATTACAATAAATCGTATACATAGAAATTTGCTTGTATTTAATAGGCACTTCAAAGCATTTATGAAAACTTACTGACAAATATAGGCCCTACTTACATATAGTTTGCACATTCAACAATATTAATTCATAAGAAAATAATTTGCTCTTTGCCATTTTAAACATATTCTTCTGTTTGACATAAGTGTTTTATCATATGTTGTTTTATCACATGTAGATCTCTATGTTTTAATCAAATACGTAGATGATAGTGATAACATTGCCGTTTGCCTGTACACTGTTCTAGAATAAACGAATTTATTCCATACCCAGAGAAGCCTCCAGTGCCGAAGTTCACCAGCGTAATATGTACAGACACATACGAGATTACTGTAAGCTTCGACAGGGGAACCCCACGACCTGATTGGATAGACGACTACCAGATCACACTGACTGTGGGTGATGAAAGCTTGTGAGTGTGTAGACTCTACAGTGTCTGAATCTCCACTGAGCATCTACCCGTGTTCCCTGCTTTCTGTGATGTCTATCCCCTACATATATCTCCTCATTTCATCTCCTTGTGCACATATTATGTGCATCTCCTTCGTATAGCCTTCATTTCCCTAGCTAGATACTAACTCATTAAACAGCTGCTACCTCTATCAAGATGCAGAATTTAACACATCTACATTCATTTCATGGTTAACTCAAAAATTCAAGGCATAGCCTATCGCATCGCTATCCATCCAACTTAACACTACTTGAATACGGTTAACCAATCTCTACTTTAAAAATTTAACAGTAGCATCCGATTAAAAAAAAACCAAATTATAAATAATAAGATTTATTTCTTTTGACACATATGAATGTCTAAAGTATCAAATATTGTTGCTGTTGTTGCCAGCATCCTGTGCACGATGACCATTAATCGCACTGACCCACGGTGGCACGACAGTGTGTTGACCTGCACCCAGAAGATGGAAATCAACGTTGTCTCCACAAAAAATGTCACGTTATCTATTCTAGTAGCCAGACCCTCACTGAACATCACAGTACACAACGTTACAATATCAGAGAACTACTTTCTGATTGATCACAGTTGAGTCAACTTTTTAAATATTTCGGATTCAATAATTTTTAGAATCTATTGTATAAATTAAAACTAACATAAAAAACCTTTTATAGCAACAAGCTTTGAAATGCACTGAAAACAAGAAAATAAAACTATTTTGCTTTCTTTCATAAAAAATATGGTTGCTCATGAGATGTTTTATATATTTTACTTTAGCGACCAAAAACTAAATAAAAGCTTGTAAAAATCATGACATTATTTTTCATACAATCGGTTTATTATTAAATATATCCTGTTGTAATTTGAAAAAGAAGACTTAAGTACTCCAGACAGCTTTTAAGATAAAACTGAAGTATAATTAATAAACGATATTAAAGACAAGGTTGTTACTCAGTAGCAGCTACAATGAAGTTTTATTTTTTCTAACAATGATTTATTTAGATCATAAGATTTCATTTACCTGGGGAAATATTGTTTTGTTCCGTTAGTCGTCCCTAGTACAGTGCAGGAGCTAAATGCCACCAGCATTGGAGCGACGTCTGCAACCATCTCGTGGCGTTTGTCTCAGTATTTAGCGGACCTGATGTTTTACATGGAAAAATCTCCACTCCAGTACAGGATAATTGTCAATAAAACAGACGGACTACCGGAACTATGGAACGTAAGTCTCAGCTCTAGAACCATTGGATCAAACTAAACTAGGTCTGAACCAGACCACTTCAGAAAATACGTACGTGTTATTGTTCTGTTGCAACTCTTCTTCCTTTTATTCTTTGTTCTTAATTAATGTAAGGGATTTCTTCCAACACTATTAAGTTTTGCGTGGCAACAGGTAATGCGCGTTTCGTATTGATATGTATGTGATTGTCATAAACCATGTTGAGAAAATAACACCAACGCTGTAAGACAACATATGTTAGCGCATGGCAGCGTAAAGGAAGAAATCAAGTCAGAATCAGATGGAGAGGCGTGGTTGTGTCTTTATTCTCTCCAATGTGCCCATAAGTACGACGGTCATGATGCCGTTGAAAATGAAGTAAACCGATATATTTATCGAGAAACTTGTCTAAAATGCGATTATTGTTTAACTTTAATGAATCTCACATAAACAAAATTATTTTTAAGGAAAAACCTTTTTATTATAATCACAAATCACAAAAAAAAAAAAAAAAATCACAAATTAAAACAAAATACACAAAAATTAAGAAGATAAATAAATCGAGGTTGGTGTAACCTTGCTAAAGCTATACGCTGTCATAATGATGAAAATTGAACGGAAATTGAACGTTAGTCTTATATTATGTTATAGAAAGTAGAGCTATCAATGAATTCCCTATGAAGGGGGATATAGTTTACACAAGTGAGCGCTCAGGTTTATATTTTTAGTCATGCCAACTTTTGTAAGATTACACCAAATTTATTTTTAAGCAGTTTAGTGTATATTTTTTCATTTGTGTTTTTTCTTTTTTTCTTCCATTTTTGTTTTGTTTTTGAATATGATAAAAGACTATTTCCTTCAATTTTTATTTTTGTTAGTGAGATATATGTTCAACCTTTGAGTTATTCGTAGAAAATGAAGTTGACGATACATAGACTATGACTAAAAGTAATTCAGTTAAAATCCACCCAGTAGCTAAAACTTAGTTGCCTGCCCCTTTTTAGTTTGTAGTCGACAAAATCAGCTAACCGTGAACTGACAAGAGTTCACGCTCGACGGCCCTCAGATCAAGCTTCTTCTTCTTCGTTCTTAATTTTTAGTGCCGACCCCTTCGGATCAAGCAATTGATAATATTTTTTAAAATCTTATCTCCTTTTTTAGAACTGAATATAACAGTTTTTAAATTAAATTTGAATGAAAAATTATCTAATTAGATTAAAATTTCGATATTCTTGCATTGTCATTCAAGATCTAACACAGTGCCAAATTTCAGCTCAATCGGGTATTAGGAATCGGATTGAATTGATATTTTAAGATTTGTGAAATATACTGTTGAAAATGTAGGAATTATATATTTTTAATTTGAAATGTAATGACTGATTTTCTAACTAATTGCTTTGTCACCTAAGAACTACTACTGTTGCTAATTATAGAGCTCCATCGGAAAATGGGAAGGGGGTCGGCCTGGTCGGATATTAAAGCTCATGGTTGCTGAACCGTAAAGTCCCGAGGGCTCGATTACTGGGACAGCCACTCATCTAGGAGAGACAACTCCTAAATCAAACAACTGCTGCCTTTTATTTTGCTTTTTGGTTGGACAATGGCTATGGAAGCTAATCCAGAAAGACAAGAAATTTACTTTTCCCCTTTTTTACCTTTAGGTGACCTTAAAGAAAATAAACTTGAAAACCGACTCCAGGTATGTGCATGTCGAGTTGGTCAACCTGACGTCATACACCGGCTACACTGTGACCGTGTACGGGATCGCTGGTGGGGGAGAGGGCGAGAGACAAAAGATTCGTTTCACCACTGGCATGTCAGGTTGTGAAATAACGTTTTCAATTTTAAAAATCTAAATCATGTCGGCAACTAAAAATGTATTTACAAAATATGCAGCTTATCATCAACAGTTCACTGTTTAAGGTTTTCTACACTACACATTGTTTTTACATTGTCGAACATTCTGAAATAATTCATTACCTGTTTCTACATACTTGCAAACAATTAAGATATTTGCTTGTAGAAAATGTTAGGTGAAGAAAATTATAATAAAGTCTTATGTACAAGTTTGGTCCACAGTTCCGACAACTCCACCAACAATTGAGAACTTCAGTTATTCATGGATTTACTCCCCTGATAATAAAGTTTTAGTTATGTGGAATGTAAGGGACTAGTTTTTAATACTCTTAAATTTGTTCAATTTATACTTCTTTTATTTTCTATATTACATTAAGAAAATAGTATTTTTTTGTAAGACGATTTATTAATTGTTTTTTCGAATATCTAAAATCAGAATAAACAAGCTAAAATGAAACTACAATTTGTTTGCATAAAACTTTATTTGATCCGTCAAACAACATTTACAATTTAAATCCGAGCACAAACGATGATACCAAATCTAATGCTAATCTTAAACATTATTGTAACTCTAATGTCAAACACAGACACCGTTTTGTTTTTCCACATTCAATGTGAAATCACCTCACATTTCTCCATGATAAACATAGAAGCTAGTCTCGCTATGGTTTTCTTCCACAGCCTCTGTCCAGAGATGCCATTGGTGGCAGCAACTTCACTTACCAGCTGGAAGTGACCGTTGGTCAAGCAAATCCTACAACACAGTTCGTCAAGAAACCTCACTTTGTTCACAAGCTTTCATCTCTGTCTGAAACCATCACGATCAAGGTTTGGTCAGTCAATAAAGTTGGGCGGTCGGTGAACTACTCTACACTGGTCATACCTAAAGCAAAACGTAAGTTACTATTTTTGCCTTGTCATATTGAAATTAAATATATTAAGTTGTCATATTTAACGACATGTATTAAAAATGAAATTACTCGATGTTAAACTAGATCTAAAACAGGAAATTGTTACAGGTTTATTAAATAACAGCTAAATAATTAACAGACTTATGTAGGAGAATAATATTCTAAAAACAGTGTAAACTATTGACTTTTATACGGGCATACCAGACTGGAGCCATGCTATTAAGGCAGGCAAACTCCCATCAGGATTCAGTATGGAGACTTTCCCATATATTGCCAGCCGCTAGAATTGTGGGTTTGGGTTTAAGGGGCAGGTCAAGGAGCGTAGCGACCCTTCCCGGCGCCCGGGGACAAACTTTTCGATTTGCACCCCTCCTCGAGATTTCGATTTGCACCCCCCCCCCCTCAAACTTTCGCTTTGCACCCCCCCCCCCCCCCTCGAGATTTTGATTTGCACCCCCCCCCCCTCAAACTTTCAATTTGCACCCCCTCCACCTTTCAATTTAATTTTCCAACCCATTTTGGCGCCCCCTAAGCTCGGCGCCCGGGGACATATGTCCCCCCCCCCCCCCCGCTACGCTACTGGTCAGGTCAGACAAGAGATTTGAACTCAACATACACGCGTTCTATCGCTACACCACGCTGTCCCCAAACACTGCACCACTGTGATGCAACCCAGCTAGTGTGACGTTCTTCATAATACGAATAGTAGCTTACAATATACACACTGAATAGTGACTTCCAATTGTATTCCTATTTGTTTATCTTATAACACTACAGAATGTAGATAAGATGTACTTGCAACTAAAATATCATACACCTGTCATTGATCTATAGATGAAAACACAATAAAAACAAATGATAACTGAGACTTTTCATTTACCCAGATTTTCATCAGGATGGAGCAACCGTAACATTGGTTGACAGAGACCACGTGACAGTGAATATTAGTCTCGCAGACGTAGCCGATAAACAAATGGTTGCAGTACATTGGTGTGAGACCGAGAAAGACCAAATTTTTGGTATATATAACGTGTGTAAGGTAAGGTGACTTTCAAAAAAAAATTGTGTGTCATTTTGGATTATTTAGTTTTTAAAGAGGATTCTCTCACTCCATAGGAGAAGCTGATGACACATACAGAAAAGTTCAACAATTCTCGAATCACAAACAGGGGCGTGTACAGAGTCCCAGTGAATGTACGCATGTTCAGACAAGAACAACTCGGCAGCCTGATGCACCGGCAAATCACGTACTACGAATCTACAAGTAGCACGTATGAAGGTCTTTCTGGAAGTCTCACCAATGCCACGATAGACCAGGCTGGTTCTGTTGCGCACACTGATGGTGCAGGTACGGAAGGTCATCCGGATGTAGATAAACTGAAGTTTTTTCATTCAGTGATGGAGGGCGGACACTGGATTGGAATTGTCCCTGTGAGCGAGAACAGTGTTTTAAATAACATTAAAGGTGACTGGTTATGACATATTCCAAATATTACTAACGCCTCAATGTTTTAATATGATGTGTGTCCGGTCTATTTTTGCAGAAGCAAAAGGGTTAAGCTTAACGCTAGCTGTAGCATTGCAACATTAGCATTACTAGTTTATTACTAGTAAACCGAATACCCTCTTCTAGAGCAATGCAATTTCTGGATTTGCTTCCATAGGATGTGTCCATCTTAGAACTTACTGCAGTTGTTTGATTTTGGAGTTTTCACTCCTAGATGGTTTCTTACGAGCTTCATCTGAACTGGGATTCGAACTCTGGACTTTTCGATTTAGCAGCCATGAGCTTTACCGGACCGACAACGCCGGCTCCTACTTCGTCTCTTGAATTATGATGTGTAACCACGTCTAACGTGGTTCAGCCTTCTCACAGCCCAACGTATTTAGTAGATTTGTAACACGTTTAAGCATTAATCAGTGGCTTTTGTCACAAGATAAACATATCATTATGTATCTTCCAAAGTGTGAAGGCTCGTTTGTTGTAATGCATGTTTGTTGTCAGTGCTTTGATGTTTTCCAAGTAAACTTTACCAAAATACTTGTTTAGTTCACTACAACAGTTTTATTGCATGCATTTTTTCATTAGATGAAATTGCGCTTAAAGCCAGGTTTAATTCTTTGTCAAGAAAAAGTACCACAGTTAGTTTTAATGATTGATAAAAAATAATTATTAATCGGCAAAATGTTTTTAGATTAAAGTATATATAACATATAATAATAAATTCTAAATTTGTTGATTTCTTTAAATACTTTTATAGAGACAAAGGAAATACAAACAAACGTAATCGTCGTAGTTGTTGCATGCGTCTCTATAGTATGTATAATTGGACTCATCATTGTCATGTATTTGTAAGTATTTTCTTGTAGAATGGTATGTAAGTATTAAATAAATGATATTGGTAAAATAATAAGTGGTTGTATGTTTCTTATCTAATTTTTAAATTCTTTTTTTAAAAAAATAATGAGTTATTGAATAGTTAAATGAACAATAATTGAATATCATAACAATTTTTGTATTGACTTTCATTATCATTGTCATTGTAAGAATAGTATGTTTAAAAGTTTATAGATCATTTCGGTTTTCACCGTGTAGAATCTTGAATTTATGAATTTATTTTAGCGGTGTCAAGCAATGCATCAAGCGAAGAAGATATTTCAATACACACGTTGTACCTCCCGTTTTAGCAGATCAAATGGAACCGATGATACAGGTAGGCACAATCTTTAGGTCCCTATTTCTCTCAAATGGAACCAACGATACAGGTAAGCACGATCTTTAGGTCCCTAATTCTCTCTAAAGGAACCGATGATACAGGTAAGCACGATTTTTAGGTTTCTGATTCTCTCAAAATCTCATCAAATTTCTTTAAGTCTAACCCATTGTCTTTTCACTAAGTCTTGTCAGACTCATTGTTTCTCGCAAGAGTTCTCCTCTCATTATCTCGTTTTTTTCCTCGACGCATTCAAACTAATCAAAAACTTTATATGTCTAATCCACGTAATCCTAATCACGTAATCCAAATTTAAGTTTTGCCTGAGCCTGCAGCTTTTAAGTTACCGGTCTCATCCTGTACCAATTATCATTAAGTTTAACCTAAATCATCCTCTACCTATTAGCATTACGTTTAACCTAAATAATCTTCTACGTATTAGCACTAAGTTTAACTTAAATCATCTTCTACGTATTAGCACTAAGTTTAACCTAAATCATCCTCTACCTATTAGCATTAAGTTTAACCTAAATAATCTTCTACGTATTAGCACTAAGTTTAACTTAAATCATCCTCTACCTATTAGCATTAAGTTTAACCTAAATATTAGCATTAAGTTTAACCTAAATAATCTTCTACGTATTAGCACTAAGTTTAACTTAAATCATCCTCTACCTATTAGCATTAAGTTTAACCTAAATAATCTTCTACGTATTAGCACTAAGTTTAACTTAAATCATCCTCTACCTATTAGCATTAAGTTTAACCTAAATAATCTTCTACGTATTAGCACTAAGTTTAACTTAAATCATCCTCTACATATTAGCATTAAGTTTAACCTAAATCATCCTCTACCTATTAGCATTAAGTTTAACCTAAATAATCTTCTACGTATTAGCACTAAGTTTAACTTAAATCATCCTCTACCTATTAGCATTACGTTTAATCTGCATAATCTTTGCTAGCAGACGACTCTGGGGTACAACGATGATAGAACTGGTTCTTCTAACGAAACTGAGTCCGGCCTGGGTGCCAGTGTAGCAGACACTGAGGCTCCCAGTCAAGGCTCGGCCACAGACACAAGTGCCAGATCTTCTAGCAACCATGTTGCTTCCACCAACGGTCAAGAAAATTCCACCAACGGTCAGCATAATTCCACCAACAGTCAACAGAATTCCACCAACAGTCAACAGAATTCCACCAACGGTCAACAGAATTCCACCAACGGTCAAGAAAATTCCACCAACAGTCAACAGAATTCCACCAACAGTCAACAGAATTCCACCAACAGTCAACAGAATTCCACCAACGGTCAACAGAATTCCACCAACGGTCAAGAACAGAATTCCACCAACGGTCAAGAAAATTCCACCAACAGTCAACAGAATTCCACCAACAGTCAACAGAATTCCACCAACAGTCAACAGAATTCCACCAACGGTCAACAGAATTCCACCAACGGTCAAGAAAATTCCACCAACAGTCAACAGAATTCCACCAACAGTCAACAGGACTCAAGCAACGGTCAACAGTATTCCACCAGCAGCGGAAGTAGATCTGGGACTCGAACCTCAGGACACTACGACGCCTCCACCAGCTGGGAAGCCGGGCCCAGTACTGGGAGCCGTGTGGGAGACACCAGCTCCAGTAGTGACCTCGAGCAGAGGAAGCTGTTGGAAGAGCTGGGCTTAGAGATGTGCTTCGACTCTATTGAAGACGAAGGATAATCCATCTAACAATGTCAGGCTAGTTGTCTTCAGATCTACTCCGACACTGAATGAGTTCCTTGTCAAGATAGTAGACATCCCTCTCAGCGGAAACATAATAACCTCTTAAGTTAAGATTATAAAAAGTTTTCTTCACTAATTGCTTGTTTACATGATTAACATATTCTTTTCGTTTTTCTTAGCTGTATGTCAATTTTCTTAGCTGTATGTCAATTCGCTTCTGTTAATAGTTCTGCTTATATTTATTGTATTTCATGCTATTCTTTAAAGTTATATTGCGTTTCTTAGATTTGTACTTAGTTTAGTTTTTAATATTTCCTATAGTACGACTTTATATCGACGTAGCATCAGCTTGTGTGTGATGTACGTTGATGCACTTCTGTTAAAATAGCGATGCGTCTTTAAAGTTGGTGAATTAGTTTTTGAAGACAAAATGTTTACTTACTTGGTAGTATGTATATACCATTGTTCTTGGACTATCTGTGTAGATTGTGATTCTATTTGTTAGAAGTATTTTTTTTATATTGTTTGATTTAATTTATTTTTGTAAAAACAAATTGCTTATGTTTTCGTAATTAAATTTTGTTTTTACAAAGCTATATAAAATTTAAAAATAAAAATTGTTTATTTTATAAGATTTTTGTCTTAGCGTTAGGTAGATGATCTAAAAATATTAACAAAAACATGCAATAATCCAGTTGATGGTTGACGCCAGGATAATTTAGTTACAGTAAGTTTGTCACAGTAAGTCTGTCACAGTAAGTCTGTCACATAAAGTCTTGTCATAGTAAGTCTGTCACAGCAAAACTGTCATAGCATGTTTGTCACAGTATTTCTGTCACATTAAGTTTACCCAATCTTTTACAAGTCTGAGGTCTGTCACAGTAAGTCTGTCACAGTAAGTCTGTCACAGTAAGTTTGTCACAGTAAGTCTGTCACAGTAAGTCTGTCACAGTAAGTCTGTCACAGTAAGTCTGTCACAGTAAGTTTGTCACAGTAAGTCTGTCAGTAAGTCTGTCAGTATGTCTATCACTATCACAGTAAGTCTGTCAGCAAGTCTGTCACAGTAAGTCTGTCAGTAAGTCTGTCACAGTAAGTCTGTCAGTATGTCTATCACAGTAAGTCTGTCAGTATGTCTATCACAGTAAGTCTGTCAGTAAGTCTGTCACAGTGAGTCTGTCAGTAAGTCTGTTACAGTATGTCTGTCACAGTAAGTCTGTCACAGTGAGTCTGTCACAGTATGTCTGTCACAGTAAGTCTGTCACAGTGAGTCTGTTACGGTATGTCTGTCACAGTAAGTCTGTCACAGTGAGTCTGTCAGTAAGTCTGTTACAGTATGTCTGTCACAGTGAGTCTGTCAGTAAGTCTATTACAGTATGTCTGTCACAGTAAGTCTGTCACAGTGAGTCTGTCAGTAAGTCTGTTACAGTATGTCTGTCACAGTAAGTTTACCCAATCTTTTACAAGTCTGAGGTGGTTAGTTTCTGAAACCGCTTTTACTACAGTCTGAACCAAAACATATTCTTTAGAAATGATAACACAACAATGCCCTGTGTTAATAAATCAAATGTAGTGTAGTTCGTGCTTGCATTACATAAAGTATTAAATCCTGCTTGCTATGAAATATTTCACTTGGTTGTGAACCGAAAGTGTACAACTTGTAAAAGACCACGTGTCTGAAGTCTGCACGCCTCACGACAAGCTGGGTCACGATTTTAACAGTCACTAGAGCAGGACACGTTTTAAAATCTAAGTTCCAGATTTTCCAGGTATGACCGGGAACGCTGTAAAAAAAAAATCACACTATATGTAATCGGTGCGGCAAGCCTTTATTGTGACCTTGTGGAGCGAAACACCGTCTCGCTCCACCAGAGCGTTATTGTTCTTCTGTTAACTGTCACGTGACCAGAGTTTCGTTTCGTCCTGTGCGTAGGACCAGTGACTGGATTCCTTATACACTGATTGTTAGATCAGTTGACGGGCTAGATGGTGATCTAAAGACTTCACGAGGTAAGAGGGAAATATAGTTTACAATATCTTTATCTATGTATCTTTCTATGTATCTATCTATGTATCTATCTATGTATCTTTCTATGTATATATGTATCTATCTATGTATCTATGTATCTATGTATCTATCTATGTATCTATGTATCTATGTATCTATGTATCTATGTATCTATGTATCTATGTATCTATGTATCTATGTATCTATGTATCTATGTATCTATGTATCTATGTATCTATGTATCTATGTATCTATGTATCTATGTATCTATGTATCTATGTATCTATGTATCTATGTATCTATGTATCTATGTATCTATGTATCTATCTATCTATCTATCTATCTATCTATCTATCTATCTATCTATCTATCTATCTATCTATCTATCTATCTATCTATCTATCTATCTATCTATCTATCTATCTATCTATCTATCTATCTATCTATCTATCTATCTATCTATCTATCTATCTATCTATCTATCTATCTATCTATCTATCTATCTATCTATCTATCTATCTATCTATCTATCTATCTATCTATCTATCTATCTATCTATCTATCTATCTATCTATCTATCTATCTATCTATCTATCTATCTATCTATCTATCTATCTATCTATCTATCTATCTATCTATCTATCTATCTATCTATCTATCTATCTATCTATCTATCTATCTATCTATCTATCTATCTATCTATCTATCTATCTATCTATCTATCTATCTATCTATCTATCTATCTATCTATCTATCTATCTATCTATCTATCTATCTATCTATCTATCTATCTATCTATCTATCTATCTATCTATCTATCTATCTATCTATCTATCTATCTATCTATCTATCTATCTATCTATCTATCTATCTATCTATCTATCTATCTATCTATCTATCTATCTATCTATCTATCTATCTATCTATCTATCTATCTATCTATCTATCTATCTATCTATCTATCTATCTATCTATCTATCTATCTCTCTCTCTGGTCTGGTCTGTCTGCCTCTATATCTGTATATCTGTATGTAAGCCCTGCTAGGGGGGGGGGATACCTAATATCTACCCTTCTAGGCTTATCTAACTAACTACTGTCCGGTCAGTGCAAGCCCGGATAAACCCAGACTGGTTAATAACCTAACCTTAGTCTAAATAATAAAACTACTAAAAATAAAACAAAAACTTAACCAATGTAATAAAATTTATTTAACAAAATAAATATGGAACCAAGCTTATAAACAAACTAGAATTTAGGTAAAACAGAACACTGGAGACATACAAAACAGAAACAGAACTCAACGGAACAAAACACCCAATTTCGGACCACCGTCCTAGAAAGAGGAAAAATAAGACAAATCAATTTAAAATGTAAAAAAGTCATACACAAGGCAGTAAGCTGACACAATTGTCAGCCTAAACAAGAGGCTCTCATAAATGAAAGTAAAATCTACAATAATCCATGACTAAACCCAGGCCATCGTGCTACCACGTGGTCTGGATAAAACAAACATTGAAACTTCTCAAAGTCGAAGTGACTAAATAGATCTAGTATATAGTCACTTTGTATACAAAATCAGCAAACAAAAATATGGAAAACATAATAAAACACTATAAAAATAACCCTACGTTACCATACACCACATAAACGTGACACAGAAACTCTTCAACACACAGGCCTCGACATTCCAGCAGAATGTCCCTCCATGTCGACACACCACATTCACGAACAAAGAAACCAATACTACGAACAAAGAAACCAGTGCTACGCACAAGAAAATAGTCCCTAATACAATAATAAGTAACATTCAGGACATAAAGCAAAGTGGAGCAACAATCCAAAACAAAGTTTGCATAAATAATAACACTAAAATATAAACAAGACACAATAACCAGACTACAAACCATTGTAAAATCAAAATCATATCAGCGCCATAATAGCGGACTACTTAACTAAAAACCACAACAATCCTCAAAGGAACATAAAAAGCGACATTCGCCTTCTTAGTTACAAATAATTATAATAACAGATAAACACACTCCAGCCGCTCACATGTATATCTGTATATCTGTATATCTCTACATCTCTACATCTCTACATCTCTACATCTCTACATCTGTACATCTCTACATCTCTACATCTCTACATCTGTACATCTGTACATCTTTACATCTCTACATCTCTACATCTGTACATCTGTACATCTTTACATCTCTACATCTCTACATCTGTACATCTGTACATCTGTACATCTCTACATCTCTACATCTCTACATCTGTACATCTCTACATCATCTCTACATCTCTACATCTCTACATCTCTACATCTCTATATCTCTCAGAATATATTTCCCTTTACATATCTGCCGTGTGTGAAAACCTACACCGAAAGTAATTGGATTGCATGAGGTAGATTTCCTAGGGAAAGCTTGTCTGGTTGATTTCCTCAGGAAAAATATAGCCATCTGGTAGGCGGAATGTGTCGTTGGAGTCGTGGTGAAAACACATTAGGGACTGGTGGGTCGCTAGAGCGATTACAGGGCACGTAACTACTGATTTATTTTTACCTGTTATTTAATTAAATTAAAAATATGTGTACAAGACGTTCATTTGTAGCTAATCTTTATGGGAAGCTAATTTAAAAACAAGGCATTTATAACAGGATCTTAAGTTACAGATAATTAATTAAATTTTAAGCAGATGAGTCAGACGGTGTGAGAAGATTGATTAGCTTCAACAGATAGTTTTTTTTCCCAACAATGAAAAACCGATTTTTTAATATTAATTATTAACTACGCTACCAGACACCCATAATGACCCTCTTCGCTATCAATACACTTCGTTACAACCAAGTGCTGATTATCTTCCCTTCATCCATGACTTGATGATTTCTAATAACTTACGTCCCCTTATTTTAACCCCTAGGGTTACTTAGGAAATCAACAGCTCCGGGTTCCCCGTCTTGTACACTACGGGGGCGGTAATTTGGAGTTTGTTACTGGTGGGAGATTTGTTTTGATAAACAGCTGTTGCTTTATTAACAAATTTATAAGTCTCACTTAAAAAAGGGTTTAGTTTGCTATACAGCCTAATTAAGTGTGAAGTCAGTTGTCGAAATATTTTTTCTTAATACTAATTAGCAACTTCCTAGTAATTAATTGGAGTTTTAAGCGAACTCTCAACTCTGGTCTGTAGATTATTTTTGAAATAAGACATCGGCCTATTTTTTCTGGTGACCGGAAAGAAGCGCACTGGAAAAAAAGCGCAAAACAAAAAGCGCAACGGAAAAAAGCGCAAAGAGAAAAAAGCGCACACAGAAAAAGCGCAAAGAGAAAAAAGTGCACACAGAAAAAGCACAAAGAGAAAAAAGCGCAAACAGAAAAAAGCGCAAACAGAAAAATGGACTGACTTCTAGATGTCTATATAGTATATAGTATATAGTATAGATTAGATCTATATTACTATAGATCTATACTAGATCTAGTCTAGTAGTAGATCTAGATTCTAGACTAGATCTAGATCTAGATCTAGATCTACTAGATCTAGATAATAGATAGATTCTAGATCTAGCTCTAGAATAGATCTCTAGAGTACTCCTCCTAGAATCCTAGAATCTAGTACTAGATTCTCGATATAAATCTATCTAGTCTAGATAATCTAGATCTAGATCTAGAAACTAATAGCTCTAGCTTACTGTTTAGAGCACTCACAGAACTCAGAGAGTCAGTAGTCACAGGCCACAGGCCTAAAAAAAACAACAATGAAACGTGCGTTAAAAAATTCTACAAAAACATTGGTAACAATTAAAAAGAATAATGTTAGATATTAGTAATCTGAGCATAACAGTCATAAAAAAATAAGCCAATTATAATGAAAAGAGATACAAACGAATTTTAAAAGCCTGAATCGAACTGAAAATATTCCCTTGTTCGCCATTTTGTTTTCTTGGATCACCTTGTCCGTATTTATCATGGACAATAAATGTTATGACTTTAATCTTTTTACTCTCCCTGGCCACTTCAGTTCAGTTCAAGGTGGGGTTGAGGGCGGTTTTATTAAATTTTTAAATTTATACAATAATTCAAAATCATTTTCAACGGCTTATGTTCAATACAAAAATATGAAAATGAGTGTAATCGATGGTTCCCAAACGGCTTTAATTTTTGAAAATGTAGCTATAATTTTATCGCTTTCTATATTTTTAAAAATAATTTTAAAAAAATTTAGTATGATTACATAGACTTTTCCTTTCTAATGTTGATTATCAAAATTTAAAACTTGAATTGATTAAGAATGTCCATTTGGTAATATAATTTTTTAATTTAATATTTACATTTTTCGGGCAAACGGCCTTCGGGCAAGTGGCATTCGGGCAATAGTCACATTCGGGCAAGTGTCCATTCGGGCATTTGTCGCATTCGGGCAAGTGTCCATTCGGGCATTTGTCGCATTCGGGCAAGTGTCCATTCGGGCATTTGTCCCATTCGGGCAAGTGTCCATTCGGGCATTTGTCGCATTCGGGCAAGTGTCCATTCGGGCATTTGTCCCATTCGGGCAAGTGTCCATTCGGGCATTTGTCGCATTCGGGCAAGTGTCCATTCGGGAAATCTGCCTTCGGGCAAACGGCATTCGGGCAAGTGTCTTTCGGGAAAACGTCCGGCTCCCATGAAATACCACCCTCATTTCCCACTTAAGTCCCCCCATCCTGCCCCAACACTTCCCACAAGCAAAATATTCTTTAACGTTAACTATTGAATAATTTAAAGTGCACCTTATATTTTTAACATCAAGTAGATAATCGACTTTTTAAAATCAATAGCTAAATTGTAATTATCACGTACGGTATAGAGAAGATGAATTCATTATCAAGCCGGTCAGAGTCCCCCACACCCCCCCCACCCCGAACACCATGAAACTCATCCCCAGATGCTAGAGATGTGTAGGCTAGAGACAATAGTTCTAAGAAGTCGTGACTCCATTTGTTTGTACCAGTGGTTCATAGGAAATCTGGGGGTGATGTGGGGGGCTTTTTGGGGGTGATGTGTTGGTCTTTGTGGGAGTGATGTGGAAGTATTTGTGGGGTGATGTGGGGGTCTTTGTGGGGGGTGATGTGGAGGTCTATTTGGCGTGATGTGGAAGTATTTGTGGGGTGATGTGGGGGTCTTTTTGGCGTGATGTGGAAGTATTTGTGGGGTGATGTGGGGGCCTTTATGAGAGTGATGTGGGGGTCTTTATGGGAGTGATGTGGAGGTCTTTGTGGTGTGATGTGGAGGTCTTTTAGGGGTGATGTGGAGGTCTTTGTGGGTAGATGTGGAGATACTTTTTGGGGGTGATGTGGAGGTCTTTGTGGGGTGATGTGGAGGTCTTTTAGGGGTGATGTGGAGGTCTTTGTGGGTAGATGTGGAGATACTTTTTGGGGGTGATGTGGAGGTCTTTGTGGGGTGAGGTGGAGGTCTTTATGGGGGTGATGTGTAGGTCTTTGCGGTGTGATGTGGAGGTCTTTTAGGGGTGATGTGGAGGTCTTTGTGGGTAGATGTGGAGATACTTTTTGGGGGTGATGTGGAGGTCTTTGTGGGGTGAGGTGGAGGTCTTTATGGGGGTGATGTGTAGGTCTTTGTGGGGGGGGGGGGGTGATGTGGAGGTCTTTGTGGGGGTGATGTGGAGGTCTTTCTGGGGGTGATGTGGAGATCTTTGTGGCGTGATGTGAAGTTTTTTTTATGTCATTGTCTATTAGCTATTAATATCAATATTCCTGTAATCTTTTGATTCTGTTCAGGTACTTCACTAATTAATTCCCTAACTCAATTGTGCTAAATTTTCTTCGTTTATTAGTTCCCACACTCAGCTTTACTGCAATTTTTTCACTTTTTAATTAAAACAATTGTGCAGCGAGTATTTCAACTAATTACAACCCTCCACCTGCTTCTGTTTGTTTTAAGGGAATACACTAATTAATTATCCTCACGAGTAATTAGCTCGCTTACCGTGGCAACTGACAGCACTGAAAAAAAACCCAGAATCTAGGATTTCTCCTCCTGTTATTGGTATTACCTATCTATTTAGGTAACTCGTAGAGCAAGTATTTTTAGAAGCTTAAGTTCTTGTTGTGTTGATAAATTCTGTATAGACAAATAATTGTATTGTACGAATATAATAAACAACGGAGCAGGTGCGAGGAACTGTTCTATCGGGGTCAAGCCACTCCAGGTAATAACAAAAATATTGTACATCCATTATCAAAAATAACAAAAAGGATTTATGTATATAGTTTGTTTGAAATGTTATTAATTCGTATTGTTTATCAGTCTGCTCCTTGTTTGACTTGATTGTCTATGTTGTACCGTACATACAGAAGTTTTATATTGAAGGTCGTCGTTTTTCCACAGCCTACAAAGATCAAACTTTGTGCAGGAGTGTGTGTGCTTGAAAACGCGTGTGTGAGTGCGTGTGAGTGTCTATGTTGTGTGAACGTGTGTCTGTGCGTGTAAGTGCGTGTGTTTACAAGTGTGCGAGTGAGAGCGTGCGTGTGTGTGTGCGTGTGTGAACGTTTGTCTATTTGATAACGTGCTTTTTGTTGCGTTTACATACCTGTTTGTTGTTGTGAGTCCGCGTGATACTCTCCGTATATGTGTGTATTTGTCATATGGGATTTAACGTTTGTATATTGGTATATTGGTATATTATTATGGTTATGTATATCAGTATGTGTTTGTATGTTAGCGAATGAATGTGTATGTTATGTATGTGTCTGTGTATATATTTGTTCGCATATTTTATCTGCTCTAGTGCGATGTATCTTGGAAGAGGGTTTGTATTTCTTACTATTCTTTAGAGTCACATTGTAATATGGCAAAGATCCATGCGAAGATAATCCCCCTCTCAGCAGGACCCCAGTATTCTAACTCTCCCCCCTCACAAACACCCACACAACACCCGTTCAACTGAACCCAAAAGTATTTTTTTTTGTAAATGAAATTCTTCTTCTATGAGACTGCAAGCAAGCGATATCAGCAGGAGAGTTATAAGGCTTGGGTTATTTCGTACTTGGTTTGCTAAACTACTTTAGACACACGAACATCCTTGCTAACAGTTATGGGTGTAACAGAAGAATCTCCGCAAAGTGCTTTGTATGGCTGTCACTCCCAGGTTTCTGGCAACGACTGTCTCACAACTACTGTGTCACAACCATCACAACCACAGTGTCACAGCCATCACAACCACTATGTCATAACCATCACAACCATCACAACCACTGTGTCACAACCACCGTGTCACAACCATCACGCAATAGACAAGTCAATCACGCGTAGGACTGCTCACTGTCTGCCGAATAAACTCACGGTCGGGGCATACATTGACCTGATTTATTTTCTCGCATCCCGCGTTTTCACAAAATATATGGCCCACCCAAATTCTTGTTTTCCTGCCCTTTTAACGGAGTATATAACGAACGTTTTCCAGAATTTCACGGCTTTTTTTCTTATTTACATTTGAGATGAGGACGAAAGGATGACGTCACGCGTCTGGTTCCCACCTCCAAGACCTCCCCTTCAGAACTGATTTCATCACCTGGTCAGAGAAGGAAGCGTTAACCATGGAGGGATGGGTGATCCAACTTCTGCTGCTTGCGTTACTTAGCTGGATCGTCACAGAATCAAGTCTATTTTTTGCAGGTGGGTCTGTAGGTGTGAGTGTGTGTGTGTGTGTGTGTGTGCGCGCGTGTGTGTGTGTGTGTGTGTGTGTGTGCGTGAACACGATAACTTGAGTAACGCTATGGCTTAGGTTGATGAAATTTCAAATAGAGGCCTAAGTATTATATCAAATTTGTAGTTCTGTATCAACTTTTCTGCGCTTCCCGGTAACCGGAAGTGGAAATTATTTTACTTTCAATTTTTAAAAAACCCATAACTTGAGTACTGTTTCTGAGAGATAAATGAAATTTCACATGTAAGTAAAAGAACTAATCAATTCTCTGCCTTCTGTCAAATTTTAAGCAATTTTCGTTGACCGAAAATAATAATTAACGTGATTTCAGATTACGCAAAAAATTAATATGAATTTATGAAGTACTAGTAATATTCTGCAGTATTATACACATATTGTTTGCCATTTATTTGGTGCGCAATTCTTTTATTCTCCGAAATTCTATTCTATTTTTACAATCTTTTATTTAACTCACTTCCTCGTCAGTCGTCAGTCTGTCGTCAGTCGTCAGTCTAGATCGAAACGCTGGAGTGAAAACTCGGTCACTTCTACTTGACCGATACGATTCACATTTGACACGTGGGTCAAGACATGAAGACAATGCAATCTGAAATTAAATTTGAATTAATTGGATGCCTAATTAATTTTTTATGAATTAATTAAATTTTGGACCGAATTAGTAGGCATGTCTATCCAACCACACCACACGCGTCATCACGTTCAATAGCTGCGCCATCACGTTCAATGGCTGCGCCATCACGTTCAGTAGGCGCGCAATGGTTTTTAGTCATGTAACTCTATTGTAAATAAAACATGTAAAGTACTGAAAAACAAATTCATAAAAAACGTTTTAATAACAAGCTTTTATGTAATAATGCACTAAAAAGTAGAAAATAAATTATAGACTACTATTTAAAAAACTATAAAGAAAAGCGTGGGTGTCTTCCTTAACATTAGTAAAGTGACCCACGCTTTTCTTTATAGTTTTTTTAATAGTAGTCTAAAATTTATTTTCTACTTTTTAGTGCATTATTACATAAAAGCTTGTTATTAAAACGTTTTTATGAATTTTTTTATAAAAGTTTAAGTAATTACTGTTTGATCACGCCGTCCCATTAAAAAATTAATTAATTAAAGCTTTGAAAGTTTAAAATCCTGCCATCGTCATCCTCCCTCCCACACACACAAACTTTTTTTTAAAAATCCTTCTCATTTGGATGAATCCCCCCCCCCCTTTCCCAACCAAAGAATCGTTGCCGGAACCTTATGACCTCTCAACCCCACACACATAAACAGATCACCCACACTACCCTATTTTTCAAACCCTGCTTCTAAACCAATAATCTATACACCTAGATCTCTGGTTTTCTAATCGACAATGATGTTGCTGATTATTTTTCAGCCAAAGATATGACAATTACCTGGCTAGTTTACCACGGCACAATAAACTTTCATACTATCACTTTTACTTTTCTAAAAGAGGCTTGAGTGTTTTCACCAAACGACCCATGACTCATCATCATACCCTTAGACCTAGTGATTTAAAACCGTAATACTCTCAATATTTGTTCAATGACTCATTCACAATCAATGAAACGTAATATTGACATTGGCCACTTATGTAATGATGAATGGGTACACAGAGTTTTTTTATTTTTAAATTTTTTTTTTTCATTAAATTCAGAACCAGAGTTTCTTCTAGGCACCCCCCCCCCCCCTCCACAATAGAGAACGCCTATTTCCTATTCAACCCGGAAGTAAAAACACATACATTTTAGTTACCACGGTTACAGCTTTATGAATGAAAGGCGTATCAAGTAGTTAGTCCTAGATCTACTTACTTCCGACCCAGATTAGATTTTGGGGTCAAGCAGAAAGAAAAACAGTTTGTTTTCATTAAAATTGTGGATTTTTTAGATCTAGAATCTAGAAATCTAGAGCTAGAAGGAAATTCGTGATGCATAGGCCAAACTAATAAATAAACTATTACTAACTATATTAGATCTTAGTATTTATTATAAGTATTGTTTTTTAAGTATTAACTCACTAAAATTTCCTGGGTGGGAGGGGATTTCTAATAACAGTCTAGTAACAGTTTGTTATCTCCTGTATAAATTGAAGGAAGAGTGAAGAGTGTAAGACTTGACTTCTGTCTAAGAAGTGTTACAGCCAGTCTCCAACCTACCTGGTTTGGTGTAAACATCATAGGACACCGTTTACTTACACTAGAGCCCTTAAAATTAAAGAGAAAAATAACCCACCTGCTGTGGGTCAATTATAAAAAAAAAATTATAATAATTAGATCTAGGCATATACTCAGATGTTTTGTTTTTATCCACATTTAATTACTATTGTTAAATACTTTACACTTTACACATAATGTTGCAGATTGCCATAACACATACAAATATATTTTAATTGATTTAATTATCTAATTATTAATTATATATGCAGATATTCTGGAGTGTGATGGTACCAGGAAAGGCTTTAATTATAAAGTAAATACACAATCAACAGTTTGTTGCATTCTAGAAGAAGAAGAGTGTAAAAAGACAACAGAGAATGATCAGCTTTACTTTGAATTGAAACCAGAAACAGAAGAAGTTCCCGAACCAAGCTGGTACAACCTCTCTCTTGGACCCTGTAGAACACAACTCACAGTAAACAGCACAGCTGCAGGCACTATGGTCGTCAGTTGTTATAAAAATAAATATAAACTGGCTAGGGAAAATATGCAATTTATAGGTACATCTACTAAAACTTTATGCTAAAGTACCCAAACTCCTTATTGAGTCTAACACTGAGATTATTAAGGCCAGTGATTCTTGACATTTTTGGAGGAACGGAACACCACCTGTTTCATTTTAAAAGTTCTATAATCTGCACTGACCAATTAAATGGTGAATCATATGAGTCAGGTGTTGGTCTTGACCTCTACCCAACAACTGAGACTGACTCACTGAATCCTTGGGGTTTGAAAAACTCAGGTTAAGAACCACTGACCTAGAGCAATTCCTTTTTAACTATTTTTGTTACAAATTGCATGATTTAGTTTTTTTATCTTAAAAAAACTATATTAACAGTATGTCTACATAGACCCACTAATATTTCTGTTTACCAAAAGTTTAAGTTTCTAAAAGTTTGAATGAAATGGCAGATTGAAGAAAAAATTTAAGAGAAAAACTTTACTTTAGACTAAGGAAATAGTAATGCATCATTTTTTATAATATCCTCTTTTTAGTGCCTATTTATAAAAGCTTGCCATAAATGACAATACACGTATTAAAGAATTTTATCTCCTTCCTCTATATCTTCAGCCTTGTCCAAACCATCAGACGCTCCTAAAATAATGTCACACTTTAGCCTTACAATCCCCACCACTTTGCAATATTGTATTGTGTATATTTCAATACGTCAGCTTCAAAACAGCTTATAAATCGAATATATAAAGCTCAATTCTGTATGTAACACATATGTTTGTCGTGGATCTTCGATGGATTTAAGTGTTAGATAATAAACGTCCTTATGGTCTAAAATTATGAGTTAAAAAATTAATATTGAAAGTTTTGGGAAATAATTTTCATTTATCAAACTGACAGTAATAATTTTCGGCATGTTCATTAAACACAAGTTTTACAAAAATTCTAATTATGTCTTTATTTAGTCCTATAGCACTTACTTCCCTTTGATAAATTAGGAAAACACAATTACTTTCCTTTATAAAACCATTGCATTAGTGGAAAAGAATTTACTTTTTATTACTTTGTTTTGGTGTTGGGAAAAAAATAATTACATAATTAGCGGGGATTGATCAAGTGCAAATGTTGTAGGTATTTTACGGATAAGCTTGGAGTATTATAATTGTTCATTAAATTGAAACAGGCGAGTTCGTTTAAGTGAGTGCAAAAGACTGTGAATAAGTTGGGGTACTATAGTCGGTCATTAAGCTAAAACAGGTGATTCCGCCCCGGGCGTTTATGTTCGCGTTAGTGTTTTCTTTGTGTTTAGGTGGGTTTGCGTTAGTGGTTGCGTTTTGATTTGGTTCGTTTTTGTTCTTTCTTTTTTCGATTTTGTTTGTGTTTTTTTCTTTGGGTTTGTATTTGTGTTTTTGGTTGGTTTTGCGTTTGGATTTGGTTTGTTTTCGTTTGCTTTTTCGTTGTTTTTTTGTGTTGGTATTGGTGTTTGTGGTTGTGGTTGGGTTTGTTGTTAGGTTTTTGTTTTCGTTTGCTTTTTTGTTGTTTTTTTCTTTGTGTTTGTATTGGTGTTTGTGGTTGTGGTTGGGTTTGTTGTTAGGTTTTTGTTTTCGTTTGTATTTGTAATTGTGTTAGCGTTATGTTTGCGTTTTGTTGTTTTGGTTTTGGTTGGTTGTGGTTTGGGTGGACAATGCCGGGTTTATGATGATTACTAAACACACAGGTAATGGTCTTTAACAGAAAGGTTTTTCACAGAAGCCAGAGCAGGGCCTGGCCGGGACGGCTAGTAAATTTTAAAAACTTTAAAATTAATTTTCTACCCCTTTTGGCGCCCCCATAGGTTCAGTGCCCTCCCCTAGCTACGCCACTGATATTGATCATTTTTTATGACAATTTTTAAAAAAATGTTATTAGCACAAAAGATATGCAAAAATTCCATTTTAAAATAAATGTATTTTAAGTGCTATCGCATGATGTCACACATTCTTAACCTCATCACATGGCACACAAAAACAGAACCAGCCCTCCTTCCCCTTCCCCCCCCCCCACACACACCTTTTCAGGAGTGTGGCATCATCTTAACATAACCCCATAATTAACATTCAAGACCATGTAAGGCAGTTCTTTTCACACTTATTGTAAAATAAGAAATACCTGCTCTGAGAAAAAAATTATCCATATTTGCTATATATGAAGCATATCTACTAATATTTGTCTTATTTATCTCTATACATGGATACAGACAAACCAGCCAAGCCAGTTATATCAGACATCAAATACTATGAAAACAAATCAGTTGAGATATATTTTCAAGTGAAAAAGAGTTCTCTATTTGCTGAGAGTGATGAGTTTAATGTTTCTTTGGCTAGACAAGAACATCAGAGGTAAAATTCACTTACCCTTTATACAGACCTATAATGTTTGTATTGTGTTTGTCAGAAGATCTACAATGTATGTTGTCTTTCAGTGAGAAGACCTACAATGTTTGTTCAACCCATTGTGAGGAAGCATCAAGTGCTAACAACTTCACTTGCAAGTGTACGATCAAATTAAAAACCTTTCTCACTCAGGACATCAGAATTATTATCAATGTTACCAGAGTAATGGAGAGCAACAGTGTCATAAAATTTTACAAGCTAAGTAGACATGGTAAAAAAGATTTTGTTTATAGAAAAGATATTTTCTTCGCTTGATAATCAAATGGCCAAAAGTGATTTATTTAAACTTAATTACTGTAAATTACATACTTAACCTGAGATTTACACAAGGAACAGCATGACAAAAGTAATGTTTTGATATGTTTATAACAAAGTTCAGGTCTTTTTATTGCTATCCCTTATGTTTCTGTCTGTCTATAGTTGTCCCAGGTAAAATTAGATGGATGAAAGTCACTAACAATGCAAAGACCTGTGCTGTTTTGAGGTTTAAACTCTCTTGGAACCTGAGAACTCTGATGGAATATATGAATCAGACTGGAAAGCCGTTGAACTATAGTGTAGTTCTAGTGAATAATAATGGGACTGATAACAAGCTTACGGTAAACTTGAATTTATATCTTAGAAGCTTTCTAATTGTTTTGTCAAAAATCTGTTGGCATAGTATTTTTATTAACTGAAAAACTATACATTTTATGTTTATAAAGTTTTTAAAAAAAAATAGGGATTGTAAATGTGAATAAGTTGTGTGATATAAGTTTTACTACTTGTTCATGTGAAAACAAATCACTCGTTAAAATAATAAATTGTTATTTCTCTTTATAAATACTAGCAGCATTATGGCCCTTTAGTTCAAAAATAAGATATGGTAAAAAATGTTTCAACATTCTATATCTCATGCTTTTGTAACCCTCACTCAGTGGGGATGCTTTTACCCATTGAGGTGTTGTGGTTAAGACGGGCTGACCCTGAGATTTAGGACAAACTGACACCGACAGTTGTTGTCAAGTACTCGCTTTATTCACGGCATCGAGCCATGACGGCGATGCATAACACAGTAGTACGACGATTTCAAAACAGAGAGAAAAAACTTCCTTAGGTCTACATCTTGGTACCGTCACCGTGTCCACAGACAGCAGCCTTGCGTGTGACTGACACGGCTAGGCACGAAACTACCCACAGTCCCATGTTACTTGACATGGGACACTGGTAACATCGCTCACAAGAGCTCACACCTACGTCAACAGTTCAGTTGCGGTCCCACAGGGGCCGCAACCCAATGAATTAAAATTTCATTCTTCCCCCCCCCCTTATCTGGTAACCATATGTGTTACACAGCCCCCCCCCCCCCCCCCCACAAATAAATGTACAATGGAATTCACATTTACATTTACAACTCGTAAATAATTTTACTTAAAAAAATTCAGTACACTAGTACACAGACATTAAGTTCTATCAACTCAAATATATTATTCCCGGCAAACCGGTAGAGGCTCCAGTGCTGGTACTGGTCACCACTTGATGCGCCAGGTTGAGTCGCTCGACGGGTCGTCGTTCACGGGTTGACCTCCGCAGCTCCGCTGGTGGTTCTGGGTTGATCAAAGAGTCATCCCCGTCCGATGTCCTATCCCTCGCATTCACCTCGTCCAGATGTGTGGCTGGCCTGAGCATCACCTTGTCTTGTCCGTCCCGGGCGACCACCTTTAGCACGAAAGGCGTTGCCTCCGGCCGAAGTCTAGTTGGAACCACCACCTTGATTGTCAGTTCCTCAACTTCATCTGCCTCACTGGTTAGGATGATCTCTCTCCGTCGCTCACCCTCCGCCACAGTCGGTTCTGAACTCGACATTGTATAGTCGTGTCCTTTCAAACCACGGCGGCGTCCACCGCGTCGTCGGCCTCTCCTCCGGCGGCGTCTCCGACCTCTTCTTGTTTCATGTCTGTCTCCCAAGCGGCGATCTTGCTCGCGCTGAAACTGACATTCATGGTGTGGCTGTCTACCCTCCTCACGCGCACCCTCCGGCTGCAACCCTCCTCCACGGCGGAACACCGTACAGCCGTACCTCCTGCCGCTAGGCGAGGTAACCTGAACTGTGGTTGCTCGACACTGTGCTGATCTCGGTGGCGTAAACTTGGGCTGGGAGCTTGGCAGACCACACATCAGCACCAGCTCCCCGACGCTGATGGACTGGCGTTTCCCTGGTGCTGACCCCTTTGCCGAGCTGCTTTCCTCGGACAGTCGCGGACGAAGTGCTCTCTGGACCCACACCCGTAACAAGCTCCTCTGGAGGGCCTTTGTTTTCGGGCTAGGATATCTGCCACCTTCTTCGCCAGACGGTCGAGTTGTTCCTCCGTGAGCATCAGCGGCGTCGTCTCCTGGCGACCAGCTACCGTTACTGCGTCGACCTTCTCCGCCAGACGGTCGAGTTGTTCCTCCGTGAGCATCAGCGGCGTCGTCTCTTGGCGAACAGCTGCCGTTACTGCGTCGACCTGGATAGTCCTGTTATCTGCTGCCGTGGCTACGACTGGGGACTCAGTTGTCCCGTCCAGCCTTTTAACAGCTTTCAGGACGTCCTCCACTTTCGGACTGGCTTCCACTGCGAAACCAAATGTGCCGCGAAGTTTGAGCGCCAGAAGAGGTGAAACCCCCTTGCAGAAGGTGTGATACACCTTCTTCTGGGCATCGGCCTCAGTAAAGATACGCTGCTGGTTCAGCCTCGTCATCTCTGACCACAGTCGGCAGAGATATTCAGACGCTGACTCTCTTGGATGTTGAGTGAGTCGGCTGAACTGCAGATACCGGTCGTCGGCACATCGGGTGTCGCCAAAAGTGCTTTGTAGTAGGCTTAGCACTTCCTCTGGACTCGCAGCCTGCTTTACCCGCTCATAAGCAATCCCTCTCAGGCTGCCTAAGATGCGTGGCAACGGGTTCGGAACGCTGGTGTTCCGCAGCAAACATTGCACTTGGGTTTCCCAGTCCGGGAAACTCACCTCCCCTCCTCCAGTGGGTGGAAGGCCGGTGAACACGCTAATAGTATATTAGGTCCCTTTTGGACCGCAGGCGCATGCGGATGGTGAGGGTGAGGGTGAAGGCGCAAAGGTTATATAGTAAAATACTCTCTACCTGGCGGATGGTGAGGGTGAGGGTTAGACATGTTATATAGAAAAATACTACGCCAACTGGTGGTGGTGGTGGTGGTGGTGGCGGATGGTGAGGGTGAGGGTTAGACATGTTATATAGTAAAATACTACGCCAACTGGCGGATGGTGAGGGTGAGGGTGAAGGCGCAGGTACAACGAGATATAGTAAAATACTACGCCAACTGGCGCAGGCGCAGGGGGATGCTGATGCGGATGCTAATGGTGAGGTGGAGCACACACCTCCACCGTCACGGGCCGCTGCGCATTAGCCTGTATCGCCGCCATCTTAGTCGTCAACTCGGCCAGCTCTTGCGACAACTTCTCGAACGTCGGATTGCTGCTTTCCATTCCTACCTCTCAAAGTCAAGCCCTACGTTGGGCGCCAAATGTAACCCTCACTCAGTGGGGATGCTTTTACCCACTGAGGTGTTGTGGTTAAGACGGGCTGACCCTGAGATTTAGAACACACTGACAGTGACAGTTGTTGTCAAGTACTCGCTTTATTCACGGCATCGAACCATGACGGCGATGCATAACACAGTAGTACGACGATTTCAAAACAGAGAGAAAAAACTTCATTAGGTCTACATCTTGGTACCGTCACCGTGTCCACAGACAGCAGCCTTGCGTGTGACTGACACGGCTAGGCATGAAACTACCCACAGTTACATGACATGGGACACAGGTAACATCGCCCACAAGAGCATGAAAAAAAAACTACGTCAACAGTTCAGTTGCAGTCACACAGGGGCCGCAACCCAATTAATTAAAACTTCATTCTCCCCCCCCCCCCCCCCGTGGCTGGTAACCATATGTTTTACACTTTAGTTGTCCATTCTAGCACTGATTGACATTTGTTTTGTTTTAGTTTGTAACCCAGGCAGGAAAAAACCCAGATCAGCTAGATCAAGCTTCTGATTATGTTGAGTTAGAACATTTGGAACCATTCACCAACTACACTGTCACTGTTATTGGTATAGGTGGAGGAGGGGAGGGTGCAGCCACTTCCCTAAACTTTATTACAAAAAAGTCAGGTAAACTTTGTTGCGATTCTTGTTAGTTTTATTGTTTAGAAAGCTACATTGTAGGTATTTCATTATTAGATTGAATTTAGGTTTACTGCTTTTATTGAATGTAATAAACCGAGAGTGATCTCCCCTAAACTTTTTCGAATATTCTTATATGAAACAACAGGGGACTGCAACTCGGGATATAGACTTGATTTTAATCCATTTTAAATACTTAAACTTTTTAAAATAGAGCAAAATCTCGTACGATAAAGAATTGCACACCAAGTGAACGCCAAAAAATGTGCATAATAGTGCGGAATTATATTAGTACTTTATAAATTCACATGCGTTTTTTTAGAAATCGGAAATAGCGAAAATTACTATTTCCGTTTAACAGAAATTACTCAAAATTTGAAAGAGGGCAGAGAATTAGATCTTTTACTTACTTGTGAAAATTTATTTACCTATCTGAAATAATACTCAATTTACAGGCTTTTGAAAAATTCAAAGTAGAAAAAGTTCCACTTCCGGTTATCGGAAATCGATGAAAATTTTATACAGATCTACGATTTTGAAATAATACTTATATATGATATTTCATCAACCTAACTGTAACGGTACTCAAGTTATCGTGTTTACATACACACACACACACACACATCCACACAAAGAGACATACGGACAAGATTGCAAAACTATGTTTTTCCGACTCATGAGCACGATTACAAGACTTTCTCTATGCTTCGTATATACGAGAAAGTAAAAAAACGCTCATTTTGGTAGATTGCATAAGCCAACTAGAAATATAAGTCCTTGGCGGAATAAGAACTCTAGCTCATATAGAAGGTAGGCTCGCAGTGAGAAATCATCATAATGGGAAAATGTGGAAGGAAAGACCACCTTCAATAGTGACCAGATTGCTGTTTTGTTGCTCAATTTACCCAGTCAGGTTTGGTCAGCTAGTCAGGTAGCCTACAGCTGCCCTGGTCAGATAATTAAGTAAACCTAAAACTGTTCAAGGCATCTTGTGAAGTATCAAATTTAATCCTTGCATGATCGACAGTCAAGTAGAGTTTCTTTCTGAGTACAGTTGAGTAAACATTCGAAATATTTTAGCATTTATTTGTGTTGCTTGTACAATCAGGCATGATCTGAACTCAGACTCTAATTTACACCATTAAGGAAAACCGCAGATCTGGAGACCACAGTCCAGTTCATCCGCAAAATTGTACTTGTTAGGGGTCGGCGAGGTCGAGTCGGTAAAGCTCATGGTTGCTAAACCGAAAGTCTCGAGTTCGAACCCTCGGGCAGATGAGGCTCGTTAGCTGGGGACAGCCACTGTTCTAGGAGAGACAACTCAAAAATCAAACAACTGCTGCCTTGTAGTTTGTTCTTGGTTGGACAAATGCTATGGAAGCAAATCCAAAAAAAAAGCAGGCTGAAATCGGAGTCAATGGCCTCAATGGCGCATAACCAGTTGACACGTAATCCTTAATTGTGATGGAAGCGTGGTCGAGTCGGCAAAAGTCCATGGGTGATAAATTCGAAAAAAGTCTCGAGTTCAAACTCTCTGGCAGATAAGGCTCGATCCCTCCCAACACTAAAAATTAAGAACCAAGAAGAAGAAGAAATACTTGTTATTCGAATCTTACTACTTAAATAAAATTAAGAACGGAGAATGTGTGTTTATCATCACTTCTATCGAACTGCAACAAAACGTATAGAAATAATTGTCTAGGTTATTTTTGAGATACGCATGAAATTCATAATGATTATTTAAGAAAAATAAATAAAAACGATTTTGATAAAGTTGTGTATTTTTGCGATTGAAAACATTAAAACACTGTAATTTGTTTCTTTTTTAGTCGTTACTGGCGCAGTGCAGGAGCTTAGTGCCACCATCACTAGAGCGACGTCTGCTACCATCTCGTGGCGTATGTCTCATTATTTAGCGGGCCTGATGAAGTTCATGGAAAAAAATCCACTCGAGTACAGAATGACTGTCAGTAAAACAGATGGAGTACCTGAACCATGGAACGTAAGTCTTTTCGCTATTTGCAGTATCATGGCCATGGACGTATGTGCATTTCGAGCTGGTCAACCTGCAGATTTTTCTTCTTCTATTAGTGCTGTCAAAACAATTTCCTTCAGGAATGAGAGAGCCACATTGTGCTGTTTTGACACACCTGAATTTTTGAGAATTAACATCCGTAAAATTATCCAGAAACATTCCCCTAAATTTTTAAAAGTGGATGAAAAGATTTTTTTGTGAATTTTGTCGTTCTTGTACCTCATCTGGTCGAAGATCTACCTATTTTTTTTATTAGGTAACAGCAAAGAAAATAAACTTGGAATCCAGGTATGTGTATGTCGAGCTGGTCAACCTGACGTCATACACCGGCTACACAGTGACCGTGTTTGGGATCGCTTGCAGGGGACAGTGCGAGAGACAAGAGATTGGTTTCATGACGAACAAGTCGGGTAGGGATGTCACATTTTTATACACAACCCAATACAGTTCTAAATCAATTAGAGCCAGTAAAGAAAAAAAATAAAACTCAATCACAGGGTGTTAGTTTATACAAACATGTTGAGCGCAGAGACGGAACTGCCATACACCCCGACCCCACAATGTAAAGAAAAAACAGATCTAATACAGCAGTGATGTTCTACAGTAGCTAACACACACCGTTTCATATGAAAAAAAACTGCATGAGCTGTAGTTTAGTGTGCAATATAGGAAAACCTTCAAAGCTCCTATCGTTCCCCCCTCTTTCTCTCTCTCTCTATCTCTCTCTCTCACACTCTCTCTCTCTCTCTCTCTCTCTCTCTCTCTCTCTCTCTCTCTCTCTCTCTCTCTCTCTCTCTCTCTCTATATATATATATATATATATATATATATATATATATATATATATATATATATATATATATATATATATATATATATATATATATATATATATATATATATATATATATATATATACTAGCGTACCCGACCCCGCGCGTTGCCGCGGGAATAGAAAAAAGTCCGACGAATATATAAGGGTTTCATCCATGCGTTACCAATCCTATATTCTTAAACTCGTGACCTTGTTTTCTAAAAGTGAGTTATTTAAATGTAAACAATGCCTGCGTTTGGATGATAAATATCGGGACACAGGTTTACCTACAATACCGTTTGAAAATCGTGAGTGTACATTAATAACTCACCGAAATAATGTGGTAGAACACACTTCGGTGACCGCCCATGTGTCAGGGACGTAGAGTGGCACTCTAAGGAGCCCCCCCCCCACACACACACCGATTACACTACCGCGTACGGCCCCTGGCTCCCTAAAACTAACAGGCTCCATCGTGCCAAATAGCATCTTGTTAATAATGATGCAGATTGCGTCATTTGCTAAAGTGACACAAATGAACAAGAGTTTTTCTTTGACACGTAAATGAGGTAGAACACACTACGGTGACAGCCCATGTGTCAGGGACGTAGAGTGGCGCTCTCAGGAACCCCCGTATATAGAGAAAAATCGAACCATCCCGTGGCGCCGCCCTTGCGAAATTATTTTTTTTTTACAGAACACTTGCCCAGAGTGTCCTTATCAACTCCCCCAAAGTCTCATGGCTATCGGATGAACGGTATCAAACCAAAATCGACTTTTATTTTTATATACCGTACATCTAGAAAAATTGCACCCTCCCGTGTCGCCGCCCTTGCGAAATTAAAAAAAAATATTTTTTTTTACAGAACCCTTCCCTAGAGTGTTATAATGAACCCCCCAAAGTCTCATGGCTATCGGATGAACAGTGTCAAACCAAAATCGACTTTTTTTATATACCGTACATAGAGAAAAATTGCACCCTCCCGTGGCGCCGCCCTTGCGAAATTAAAAATTAATTTTTTACAGAACCCTTCCCTGAATTGCTCTAATCAACTCCCCAAAATTTGACGGCGATTGGATGAACAGTGTGAATCTGCAATCAAGTCTTATTTTTTATATACCGTATATAGAGAAAAAACAAATCGCGACCTGCCGGAGCTCCACCCCTGCGAATTTTTTTCCCGCAGAAACCTCTCCAGGAATATTCTTAACAACTTCCCAAAGTTCAACGGCGATGTGATAAGAGGTGTGGTAATGCATAAAAGACACACAGACACACAGACACACAGACACACATACACACAGACACACAGACACACAGACACACAGACACACATACATTGCTTTATATATATATAGATATACAGAAGGCAAATGCTGTGGCGTACATACGTACGGTGGTCTCGATCGATTGTTCGGTATAAATCTAAACACGAGCACTGATTCTATTCATTTTCGCAACACTTGATGATTATAACAAAAGGTACGTCGTGGCGCACTTCTCTGGCTAAAGTAAATGAAAATTCAAATTGTTTTCTAATATTTGTTTAGTCCATATGATAGGTGAACCCTGTTCCTTCATTTTTAGGCCTTCAAAATTTAAATATTTTGTGCTGCATTCATCGCCGGCGCAACTTAGTGTGTTGTGTGAAAGACGTATAAATTTACATATTTAGTGCTTTTTATCTTGAAATAGAAATTATAAGAGATTCTAGATCTAGATCTAGATGATCTAGATCTACGGAAAAACTAGACTTACACAGATGTAGACCCTACCTAGATCTAGAATCTATTCAAATAATACATTTCTTTACTAAAGTATTTCAGGCCTTAATTACTTTATTTAAATCTTTGTTTATCTATGCAATAGGGCACTTCCCGGCGCCACAGGCGCTTCAAATTTGGCAGGAACTTGTCTTGGGGCGACAGAACACGGGGGCCGGTTGGCCGAAAAGTCTACGATGAGGGGGTCAAAACTGACCTCAACTAACCGGCGCCTTATATGAGCTATAAATCGAACAAAAATGTCCAGATAGGAACCTCTTCGTAACTCCTGAGGTCGTAGACCGACCCTCGGGCGTATTAATTTAGCATTCAAATTCTCAATGTTTTCGAAAGCCTAAGCGAAGCTAGGCAGCATGCCTAGTTATTACATAAAAGCTTGTTATTAAAATGTTTTTTATGAATTTTTTTAAAGTACATTACATGTTTTATTTACAATAGAGTTGCATGAGTAAAAACCATGCGCACCTTATCAACATGATAACGTGTGAATAATAATGCGGAATAGTTGGGTTAGACTGCCTACTAAGTGGGACAAAATTTAAATTAATTAAAAAAAAATTAATTAGGCAACCAATTAAGTCAAATTTTATGTCATTTTGCGTTGTCTTCATGTCTTGACCCACGTACCAACCACAAACTGCATATGTCAGAAGTGTCCGTAATTTTGCTCCGGCGTTTTGATATGGACAGAATGACGACTGACGACAGAACTACAGAGACAGTGAGTTAAATAAAAGCTTGTAAAAAGCTTGTAAACAGCTTTTACTCTATAGTTACTTTCTTGTATTCAGAGTATAGAGGAAGTATTGTAATCGTGCACAAAAATCCTATGAAATTTCGACAGTTTTCCTCGTTTTACACCACTTTAGGCCTACTTAATAATATCCGGTGTATAAGGGACTTATTTTAATCGGTCCAAAATTATAAATGTATATGTATCAAAATTTCAGCGTTCTATGCGTAATCGAGTCGGAAAAAATGGGCTTTGCAGTTATGTCCATATGTCTGTGTGTGTGTATGTAAATACGATAACTTGAGTACCATTTCAGCTAGGTTGATGAAATTGCATGTACCAGTATTATTTTCAACTAGAATACCCGTCATCCGTTGGATAACTGTGGGTTTCGGGGGTCATCCTTCAAAAAACATCACGTCTGTCACTCAGAGGCATAGCGACCCTTCCCGGCGCCCGGGGACAAACTTTTCGATTTTAACCCCCCCCCCCCCAAGATTTCGATTTTCAACCCCCCCCCCTCCCTCAAACTTTTGATGTGCACCCCCCCCCCCCCCCCCCACTCAAACTTTCGATTTGAACCCCCCTCAACCTTTCAATTTATTTTTCCAAACCATTTTGGCGCCCCAACATATGTCCCCCCCCGCCCACCCCTCCACCTCCCCCCGCCTCCCCTTCCCCCCCCCCCCCGCCTCCCCTCCCCTCCCGCCCCCCCCCCCCCCTCCTCGCTACGCTACTGCAGTGTCACTTATCGTCACAAAAAACAGACCCCACATTCAAAAATATGTTTCTTATCTTTTAAAAACACCGAAAACACCGATTTCGGACTATCCCTTCCTATACTAACGTCACATGTGACCTACTCAACTCTACTTCACCTGCCCAGTGTCCCACCAAGTCTCAGACAACATGTTTTTATCGTTTAAAAAACGATTCCAGCCGAGCATGTCTCTGACCACACTATCCTTTCATATGCTTAGGACAAAGAAACAGATGAACTCTACTTCACCTGCCCTGTATCCTGCCAAGTTCAGATAGGCAACTTTATCATTCACATCTAAAAAAAAAAAATTGAAAACAAAAATATCATTGACATTGGTCTAGAACCCGTGCCACTTGCATGAGAGACGGCTACTCTACCAACATAGCTATTTACTCGTGACGTCACAAGTGAATTTTTATACTATACTTATGCAACTTTATTTACGCGCATAGATCTAGATCTAAGTCTAGTAGTAGTAACTTTCAAATTAAATTTTATCTTAAATTAGCCAAACAAAGATTTATATAAAATAAAGAAGGTTTGAAATTATCTAGATCTAGATAGAATTATCTAGATCTAGATTCTACGACTCGTTTTCTTAAGTCTTAAGTTTAGTTTTTCTTGCTAGATCTAGAATCTAGATCTAGATCTAATCATTAGCTACGCTCATAGGCCCGGAGCGAGCATTTCAAAATTACCATATTCCAAACAAAGATTTATATAAAATAATAAAGGTTTAAAATAGTTTAGTATATAGAAACTCATTATTATCTAGTTATTATCTAGATCTAAATCTAGATAGAATTATCTATATTCTAGATCTACGACTGGTTTGCTTAAGTCTCGTTTTTTTTGGTTTGTATTTATTTATAACTATTAAATCTTTGATTTGACCTAGATCTAGATTCTAGATCTAGATCTATAAATAACTTTCTTGGACAGATTTTAGATCTAGAGAAATTTATCGTAAAACTAAATGAAAAAGACAGTTGAAAATTGATATAAGTGTTGGAACGTAATAAATACAGCAAACGGACGTATTGTTAAAGTTATGACCCACAGAAAATTAGATTTAGAACGCGTTAAACTTGTGAATGGGAACACAATTTTCTTCGATAGACGCCGCCATTTTATTGTACTAAAGAGTAAACAAAAACCTGTGACGTCACGGTCCCGCCGAGTGTAGTGGTCGTTTTAATCTTTTAAAAAAAATGGGTTACTCTGCGTATGAATAAATCAATAAATTAATTAACGTCTTTAAATAAATGTGTGATTAACAGTCTGTCTTAAAACAAAAAATTTTCTCTACCTACAT